GAAGTTCCCCAGCAACTAATGTCATTGTTGGGAGTGAGAAAGATGACTGCTTCGGGTGCTTGTTCTCAAGGACTGCTGACTGGGCTTCAGAAGGATCAGGAGGAGGTGGTGGAGGGAGTGAAGAACAGGAATGTGACCATCTTTTCCATTCCCAACATTCGTGGCCTTGGATGCTCTAATTTTAAAGTGGCAAAGAAGGATCTAGGGAATGATCCCAAAACAAGGGAAGGCTCAAGCCTGGGAAAGCAGCACAGGAAGGAGGAAAGCTAGGAAAGAGGGGCCATGGTTAAAGTACTGAACTTTAGCTAGGAAGATCAGAGTTCAGATTCCCATCCAGCTGTGATGCTTGCTGGGTGACCTTGGTCCAACCACTTTCCCTCAGTCTGACCTACTGGACAGGGTGATTCATGCAGGCCACCCAGGGTTTGGGAAGGGTGAGATCCAAATGTGAAGGAGGAGAAAGAATGGGCAGAGGAAATGCACCCAGGCCAGGAACTACATATGTGAGGAAGGCCACATTGTATATAATGAACTATAATATGAGCAGAAAATATATCTTTGACTTAAAAAGGAATATTGGTATTAGATGTCATGCAGTGAGCCCAAGAAATTTCTTGGGACCTTCAGAAGGGAGAGAAACTGAGCTGAATACGAATGCATGTTTTGGTAGCAAGCTGTTAATGGTTTAATGGCAACTCTACTCTGTTCCTTTGTAGGGCGGAGTAGAAAGGAAGATTATGGCCAGCTGTGCCATGACAGCATTTGTTTGCTTATTTATTTATTGGATTTATGAACCACACCCAACAGTCCCTTCACAGAACTTCCTGTGAAGACATCTCTCAGAAAAAGAGCTATTTCCACTGCCGCCTCAATTCTCCTGGAGTTTTTTTTCTTTTCTGAGGGAAGATATGGACCAAAGCTTCAAGCATCTTCAGCCTTCCTTCTCTTCCTGAGGGAGATCTTGAGGGTTCTTGTGGTGGTGGCTGCCCAGTTGGGGTTCTATAGTCTGGGTCTCTTTCCAGGGTGAGAAACAAGCCCATGAGCACATCTGTTTTATTTTCAGATATTTTGTACCTTTACACCAACTCCACTTGCAATTTGGTCCTAGCAATAGGAAATCACTTTACAGAAAAAGATAGTGAAAAACCAAACTAAACTTGCGTATTGTTGCTTTTAACCCATTCCTTTGAATTTCTAATTCTCATATTGTCTCTAGATGGCTACATGATTGGAGTTGGTCGAGCAGACTGTACTGGCCCTGTAGCTGAAGTACCTTTTGTGAGTTTCTGATCTGACACTTTCCCACCTCTGCTTTTTGCCAGTATTTCCTCTGATCATGTGAACCTGCTTATTTAAAAATAGCTACCTTGAATCATAGTATTTTGCTTTGTTTTCAACTGACTGCATTTTAAACTTTTAACAAGCAGAGCCCTTCGATTAAAACCTTCATTAGAGGTAAGTGATTTTTATTACTTCCCCATTCGGCACTACTGAGGAAATACATGAGCAATTAGGCCCTCTTAATTAGAGAGGAGCTTTAACAACTGGTATCCTTTCATGGTTTTTCCTTTCCAGTGACTACTGTTCTCTATTCTTTCCTGGCTTTATCTTGGTTTTATGCAGTTTTAATATTTTTATTCTTCATTTGAATGTTTATATTTTGCGTGTGCACTGTATATAACTCAGCGAACATTGGTTATTGGGCAGGATCTCAAAATTATATATGGAAAACAGTAATTAAAGCTCCTCACCTGCATGAGTAACAGGAAGGACAGGTTGCCACCCTGTAACTGTTGTTCTTTGAGTGGCATCTGTGCATTCACACACATGGGCTTTGCCATGCAGTGCAAGGCCTGGATCGGAGCGAAACCTACACAGCTCAGTTTCACGGGGTGGGCAGGAGCCTCTCCCTGCCACTTCCGGGGCTATGGATAAAAGGGGTGGGGCATCCACCCAGACCCTCAGTTGCCTCAAAGACCACATCATCCCAGGCATGCAAGGGTGCCGTGAATGTGAAGGAGGAGGCATTGGTGCTCACATCCAGCAACTGCTCCCTAAGGCAGGGCGCAGTAGGCTGACAACAGTCACCGATGACTGCTCGAAGGAGGACAGTTACAGGTAAGCAACCTGCCTTTCTGTGCATCACACATTTGGGCAATTAGCAAACTTACCCTTCATGGATAGAGGGCTGTCATCAGCGAAGAATTGCCAAGAGTACTGCCCTGCTGGGCGTGCAGTCTTGCCTGGCGCGGACATCTAGCCGATCATGCCAGTTGAAGGTCGGTGGAGTAGGCTGTGTGACAGCTCTGCAGATGACGTGGAGTAGGATGCCATCCACTGGGGCAGTGGACTTAGCTTGCCACATGTGGCGTTTGCTCAGGGACCTGTGGGGAGGTCAGGTCTCGCCATTAGGCCAGGGAGATGGTGCTGGACACCCACTTGGAGAGGCTCTGGGTCAAGACAGACTCCCCTTTATTTGGACCTTTGTAGCAGAGGAATAGGTGGCTGGAATATCACAGCTGTCCAGTCCGAACCTCGTAGAAAGCGAGGGCCCTGTGGACATCAAAGAAGTGTGGCACGGCCTCTGCCGGGGTGGAGCGGTTAGGGAAGAAAGCTGGGAGGACAATGTCTGGACGGACATGGAAGGAGAAGTTGATCTCAGGTGTAAAGTAGGGATCCAAGCTGAGGGCAGCCTTGTTGCTGTGAAACATGAGGAAGGGGGCATTGATCTGCAGTGCAATCAGCTCACCGGTGTGGTGGACAGACAGGAACCATGGCAGGAGGCAGAAGCCTGATGTAGCTATGGGCTCAAAGGGCCTCTTCGTGAGGCACTGCAGGACCACTGAGAGGCTTATGAGGAGGTGTGCCAGTGGGATGGGATTCTGAAGGCCCTGGAGAAACTGGTGCACGGGGGTGCGTGAAAACAGACGACCCCTGGATAGATGGGTACACGTGTGAGATGGTGAGGTGAACCTGCAGGGAAGATGGGGAGAGGCCAGGGCTGAAGTGGGTTTGGAGGTAGGAGAGAATGTGCTCCATAGAGCTGTGAGTGGAGTCGAGCCCTTTTGACCTAGAGAAAACTGTGAAGGCCCTCCATTTCACCAGGTAGGATTTGCAGGCAGAGCATTTCAGCGTGGCCTGGAGGATGGAGGCAACTGCTGTTGGGAAGGACAGATAGGATCTGTCGCCCAATGATCTTCCAGGCAGACAGGCACAGGGCCCTGGTGTTGGGTTGAAGCACCCAGCCGTCCTCCTGGGACAGGAGGCTGTGTTGCAGTGGTAGGTGGAGGAGGAGGGGGAGCCAGGAGTGCCTCAGCCAGCATGGGGTGGTCAGGATGCAGCCCGTCCTGTACCTCTCAATCATTACCCTGGTGATTAGCAGGAATAGGGGAAGGCATAGAACAGGGTCCCCTCCCACCTCAGGAGGAAGGCATCCCCCAGAGAAGTGCTCCCCCTCTGGAGCAGAAGTGCTCACACTTGGTGTTCTGGGGAGTGGCAAAGAATCCACCTCTCATACAGTCTGGGAAAAACAGAGGCCTCCAGCTCCCACTCATGTGGGGTGGTGGTGGCACAGCTCAGGGTGTCCGTCAAGCTTCATCAGAGCTGGTGCGGATGGTGTGGTTGCTTAATGCAACCTAGTGGTGGAAGGGTGTCAAACTTTATCCTATATCCTTGATGAATTACGGAGAGAACCCAGGAGTTAAGAGGTGATGTCCATCCATGCTGGGGGTAATTGTGCCAAGGCGACTGAAAGCCAGATCAGCCATGTAGAGACAAAGAGAGAAAGGATGCACGTGGAAGGAAAAGAAGTCCTTGTTCCCCTTCCTCGTAAGTAGGAGAGAGCAGCAGCAAGGAGTGGCCTTAGAGCGAGGAGTGTATAGCAGTAGGCTTGCAAGCTTATTAAGTAAAGGGAAAGTTGTTTTTTTTTTAAGGAAAGAACAGATGGAGAGCATGAGCTAGTCAGAAGAGCAGCAGAGGTTCTGATCAGCAACGTGACTGTGAGTGCTGTCAAAAAGGAACTGAGGGTGTGGGGCGGGAGCCCCTTCCCACCCCTTCCAGGTCTTCAGCTCCATCCCTTTTATCTGGAGACCTGGAAGGGGTGGGGAGGGGCTCCCACCCACTCCATGATGCTGAGCTGTGGAAATTTATCTCTGATCCAGGCCTTGCGCTGCGCAGCAAAGCCCATACGTGTGATGCACAGAGACCGAGAAGAAATAAGTAGAGACAAACTCATCCATCTTAAACAGAGATCAGTGAAAGAGACAAAACCTGAAAGGAAGAAGCTGCTGAATAATTCTGTGGAGCACTTTGCTAAACAAGACTTGCAAGTATATGCTACAGAAGGATTTTGGAGAATCAGAGTCCTGGGCCAGTTCAATACAAGAGGCTCATGTTTTCAGGCTGTTGCCCTCCAAGCCTACAAGGTCATGGAAACACATGAGGACAATCCTCTCTTCATGCATTCATTCAATATTGGAGGAAGGATACCTGAAGACCTACTGAACGAGTTACTGAAGAGGTCGACTACAGCCACTTCATTCACCTAATGCTAGAGAATTTGACCATATGGCTGCAACTTATCTGGGAGTTAGCCCCATGCAGTAGGAGTGCCAGAGGAATTTGATATTTCCAAATTCCAATAGGAAATGAACAGATTAACATCTCTTGTTCTAAAATGTGAAATGCATTCTTTGAAAGACCACATGTGTTTATTTTGAGGAATTAAATCATATAAAGCTACTATTTTGAGCACAGTTTTTGAAAATCAAACATATGGGTTAATGTGGAAGCTGAATTCAATGGAAGTTCAAGTAAAACATGTGTGAATGGGCCATTTTTATCAGTTACAGGTTAATAAGAGATGAAAATAGGTGAAAATGAAATGGATTAGGGAAAAAACCAGATTGACCTGTTCCCCCATTGAATGCAATGAGATTTACTTCTGATGACACATGCATAGAATTGCATTTAATGAAATGAAATGCTGTCTTCCTATCTAGATGGGCTATGCAAGTCCAGATCAGAATGGTGCTGGGATTCATTCTCGACTGTACTGTAGAGCATTCATCACTGCAGAGCCGAACAATGTGACCAAACGGGTGGTATTTGTTACTTGTGAGTTAGGAATGATATCTCAAAGGATTCGGATTGAGGTAAGTCATGGGAGGAGATCACTTCTGTTTCTTTTGCTTTTTTGCTTTTACATTCTTCCAAAACTATTGGTCTATCAGAGCTGACATTCAGACTGCAATAAACTTAAATCTCTGAGATGTGTTGTGATTGACATATGACAACAAAAGCTTTGGACATTGCACAGGAATGGTTGGCATTGCAGTTGAAGATGTCTGGACAGCACCAGGCAGGGAAGGCCAGAGTAGGGGTCTCCCACACCCCTTTGCCACTAGAAATGTGCTGGTCTTTAAGGTGCCAAGGGGTACTTTATGCCCATACCTCTCATTCTTACTGTTGAATGTACATTCAGACATTCCCCTGTCTTTTGCTGTTCTAGTGAAGCTATTTTATAACCTTGGAAAGCATAATAAATTATGCTTGGTCTTCTCAGGTGTTAAAACAGCTGAAACAGAAATATGGTGATCTCTACAGGCGGGACAACGTTATACTGAGTGCAACTCACACCCATTCGGGACCTGCAGGCTATTTTCAAAACACAATCTTTTTGATCACAGGGAAGGGACTCATAAAGTCATCCATTAACGCCATTGTTAGGGGAATCCTGAAGGTAAGAACAAACCCAGCCTCTAACTTTAACTGCCTGATTTCTGCTGATTGCAGCATGCAGTAGAGAAACCTGCATGGTTGGGCTGTGGAAGCATTATCATGAGCAGGTAAACTTGTGTGTCAGTCTTAGAACGCTGTCATGTTATTCTTTAATCTTCTTTATGAATTCACTAAATAAAAAAGAGCATCAAAGCAATGCACAGTCTTTAAGGAAAGAATACTTTAACACCATACTGCTAATTTCGGAATAATGCATATGCTACTTCTCATTTATTCATCTCTCTCTCTCTCTCTCTCTCTCTCTCTCTCTCTCTCTCTCTCTATATATATATATATATATATATACACGAAGTACAAGTAGAACACGTGTGAATGGGTCATTTTTATCAGTTACAGGTTAAGAGAGAGAGAGCATATTTATATATTAAATATTATACATATAATAACTTATGCTATATAATGAAATATGCTATATCAATAAAAAAGAGGCTGGCTTTGGAAGTAAGTCCCAGTGAAATCAGTGAGACTTATGACCATGCCAACTTGCAAAGGATTGTGATGCGAGTGTCCTCAATCCATCCAGCCCAGTGAAGATCTTTGTGTGCAAGTAGGCCTGTGCTTGCATATCATGACCTGCTTTGGGAACTTCTGGCATCAACTGGTGGTGCATTTACATTTGCTGCTAGGGGAGGATGCTGTCTATCTGCACTGTATTGCTCTGAATGAGTTGTGCTTGCTAGAGCACAAGTCTGTTCAAGTGTGTACCCACATCCATGTCCACGTCCTCATCCCCGTCCTCCTGTGACTGCCAAAAGAGTAGTCACGTTAATCTGCTGTAGCAAAAACATCCAGAGCACAGGACGGGCCAACAGTGCAGTCCTGTCCCCTCTGGAGTCCATCTGTGGAGTTCAATGGAATTTACTCTCAGGTATGCAGACTATGACGACTGTGGCAAGAGCTCTGACAGATTAGAGTTGAGATCAGATGAATGAAATGCTATCCTCACTTGATGCAAATACGGATGGGTGTAGAGAAAAAGAGATGAAATTGAAAACCTTGGGACCGAACAACCATGACATGCAGAAGAGGCAGCTCAGCAGCAATTGTATGGAAAGCTCAATGCTTTCAGAGGCCAAATCCCCATGGCGGGCAGGCCAAAGGTGCAAACGATGGTGGGGCACAGCACAGGGCCCAAGATGCCAGTATATTTTAGCCTAACTCTCTTTGTTCCTTCCTTCCTTCCTTCCTTCCTTCCTTCCTTCCTTCCTTCCTTCCTTCCTGTAATGACACCTTAGGAGAAGCACTTTAGCCTATCAGAATAGGTGTGTGTGTGTGTGGGGGGGGGGTTCAAAAGCATGGAAACCACTAAATGATTGGCAGTTGGGATAAGGGGACAGGTTGAGAGGATAGTGTGTGTACCGCTGGGGAATTTCGATGGGTTAGATTGGACCCCAGGCCTGGGTGTACTGTACCCATGCCTGAGTGCATTTGATAAAATCTTATACCATAATAAATCTGTTGATTGTTTTTCTTACATCATCTGTTAGCAGTGTTATGTTGACACCTTGATTTTCAACCCCTAATGTGAATTCAGCAATTTGAGCATTGTTGTAAACTACCCAGAGAGCTTTGGCTGTGGGGCAGTATAGAAATAATAACAGTACTAACAATAATATCAAAAATATAATTTAAGAGCCGGATCAAAGCTCATATCTTTGTTTATCACTAATTTTACTCATCTTTTCTCATTTTTAGAGCATTGAGGTGGCTCATGAGAATATGATAAAAGGCCGAATTTTTATCAACAAAGGGTTGTTAGAAAATTCTCAAATCAACAGAAGTCCCTTTTCTTACCTCCACAATCCAGAGCCTGAAAGACTCAGGTAAAATGGGGAAGGCTATAATTCAACCGAATGTAGTTTTTTGCTGAACTCCTGGAATGTTAAGTACTAAACAATGACTCAATGGCTGACTTATGAAAGGAAAATGAACTGAGCTTTTTCAACAAGAAAGTAAAGTTCCGTACATTTAGTATTAGGATTTTATGGCTGAAAAGAAGCATAATGTAATGGACCATTTCCACATTTCTCCCCAAGCTAACTAGGATTCCTCATGTGTATCTCTAAAGCCTTGTTCAGACGTCATGCCTGCTAATCTTAATGTGGGTAAGAGGCTCCGGACTGTACAGGCTGGACACTGCCCTCACTGTCCTTGCATGTACTTGTCCCGCCTCTTCACCGCATCCTGAGCAGGGATGACTGGAGAGGACTTCTCGTATTCACTTGCATTTGGATAGAGCCACCAGCACCCTGACCAAGCAGGGACCCTCATCACAGGGAGATTTCTACTGGCACTCAGGAGAACACTTGTTCCTGCTTTTGCTGCTCAGCCTGGCAAGGTCAGACGCAGGGAGGACAATGCTGGGGACAGAACTAGTATATGCTCCCCTGGGCCCCTTGCAGAGGGTTAGGGTTATGCCTGGGTTTAAATGGATGCAGACTCTCAGATGCAACACAAAATCACTCCACCAACTGGGGTTGCACACACACAGAGCCCTTTAATGAAATCGGTTCTTCTTCTTGTATCATTTTTGACCTATGGAGGCCCTATGAAGGCCCTGTCCATGACAAAATGTTTTACTCCAGAGACGACAAACTTAGGAGAAGTAGAGTGGCTCTAATACTGCAACAAGATGTAGCATAGGCAGTAAGAAGCTATAATGCAAAATCTGACCAAATGTCGAAGAAAGTTGGACCACTCCCAATCAGTTCTTCTGGAAGGAGACTTGAGGACTAGACTGAGTTCTCCCCATCCACTGCCCAGGTTTATCAGGGATGCTGTGAACAGTTGTAAATTTGAAGGTGGGCAGAGTATGTACAATCACAGGTCTCCTGAATATACGGTGATTATGGTTCCTTGCCCACCACCAAAAATACTAGTGATCTGTTTACAGAAGATGTGATACTCTTTGCAAGGCTGCTGAGCACTTTGATGGGCAAGGTGAGGGCAAACAAAATGCAATAGCAAGCAATTCAGCACTTAGATTGAAAACCAGGATAAATAACAGCAACTCAGCAGTTAAGAGTTGAAACCAAGATAAACAGTAGCAATTCAGGACTTAGATTGGAACCCAGAGAACTAAGGGCTAGCACTTAGCATTGCTTAGAATTTCAGCCAGGGGAACAATAATAATGATCAGCTGAACACTGTGCACAATCACAAGCTGTTTTGTACTTTGGACAAGGAACAATGTGCACTTATGGGATCTTTTCACTAAGCATGCAGAAAATTCCAACCTTGTAAAAGTTTTATATCTGCTTTTCCAGAAAAATGTTTTGAGCTTGTGCTGTTCCTGTTTAATATAACACATTCCTAGTTAATATAGTATAGAATGTCATAATGATCTGGCTTGGGCAATCAAAACAGCCCCAGTGGGTTGAAACCATAGTGAACTGCAACATTGCCATTTTGTATATTCAACACCCAGCCACAGCTTTTCATGTTGTGCAAACCCAGGGACCGTGGATTATGCAGTGTTGTTGCTTCATCCTTCCACCACCCAGCTCTGCATGACATGACAAGCCATAGCTGGCTGCTGATATTCAGAATGGCCACATCCATGCCCCATGGCTTTAATAAGACCCAGTGAGCTGCCTGATCATGTGAACTGGCTCATTCTGTACACATCGCGAAGATCCACTTGTTCCCAGAAACTAAGCTTGATCTAATCCTAGAACATGAATATAAAATATGAAAGAAGGAATACTCCAGTAAGTGTTGCATTTCTCATCTCTGTGCCAGAACTGCAACTTCAGGAATAACTTATCCATGAAATGCACCCTATTGACCTTGAGCTTATTTTCCTAAAAACGAGGAGTTAAAAGGTTTCATGTGGATGGAATGTGAGACTCTTTTTCCATTGCAACAGCTCCAGAGGGTAGCTGTGTTAGTATATTTCACCTAAACCAATAGAGTCTTTGATCTGATGAACTGGACTATAATCTATGAAAGGTTATGCCAAACTAATTGTTAATTTTTAAGGAGCCACAAGGCTATCTGTTGATTTACACACACACACACACACACGCGTGCGCGCGCGCACACACACACACACACATTGTATTTCAGTGTTTTAATATAAGAACTAAGAACTATCAACCTTGTATGTATGTACCAAGCTTTCCACTTTTAATGTGCACATACAGAAAAATGCTGCTGCCATGTAGGGAAAAAAGCAATACCACTAAGCAGGGAATATCATTCTAAATGGAGTATTGAATGAAGGGTTCCAGAATGAAGAGTTCCATTCAAGTGCTTATTTACTCTGAAGTTATATGTCCCATCTTTTGACCGAATTCTCGTCTAGACAACTTCCACAAATTGCCATAGGTTTTAAAATGTCACTATTGACACCACCTCCCTGCACACATGCAAGCACGTGGATGGAGACAGAATGTGTGTCATGCAGCCCCAGGGCAACTAAGCAGCGTCCTTTGGGCTGGGAGTGCGGGCAACAGCATTCTTCTTGAAGATGCTCCTCTGAATGACGACCTATCTTCTAGGGCAGAGAGGAAGGCACACAGGACATGGCAGAGTACATTGGATCACTACAAAACATTCCAGTCCCTGACAAGCAGAGGGCCCATTAATAAGAGCCCTTTTATGGGCTCACAGCTTGTCAGCCCTCCAGAAAAGATTCAAGCAGACATTCCAGACATTCCACTGTGGTTGAGTGACTCAACGATTCTCTGGTGCATGCAGAGCCAGTGCTGTGGGAATCACATCAGCAGGCTAATTCCGGGTTTGTCAGGGGCCCTGACAAGGTGTCCTCAGTGGCACTGTTCCCTGAATCTCCTCCTCATCCTCCTCACACTATTGGCACTATCCATTTCCTTTGAGGCTGAAAACACATACACCTTCCTGGGGGACAGGGCAAGGCATGCAGGAATTACAGCTCTGCTCGCTCACTTGGAGGGAGCAGAGGAACAGGCAGCAGCAGAGGCTCCAGGAGGCACCAGGGATTGGTGGCAGGCCCCCTACGGGGGTCGCAGCATCTAGCAATGCCTACCCCAGTGCCTGAGCTGCGAGCCACAGTGCAGGACCTTTTCTGCCATAACTTCCATGAGTTTGAAGGACGTATGGACATGACGGCTTCCCACTGCATGGTGCCCATGTTCACCTTTTGTGTAAGGATGGGGAAAGATTCAGCCAGTGCAAATTTTAAAAATGAACTTATCTACATTTTATGCAAACTGCTCTCTGAACTGCAACTTGGTTAACTTTTGAAAGTCATTTTCTAATAGCGATAGGATGTTTCTACAATAAAAAGTCATTAAAATGTGTGTATTACTTCTCACAAAATGAGGATATTAGACATTATGCACACAATGCATTTATTAGGAGAAATGTGCACAAAAATCCTTATCGATGTTTATGTAGACTTATTTTAATGGAGAGAAATAGAAATTGAAATTTTCTTCTAATTTTACTCCTATGTATATGTTTCCAACTCTGCAGCCTGTTATACTAATTGTGGAATGTATCTCTCTTCTGTATGTGAACTAGATATTCATCAAATACAGACAAAGAAATGGTGGTCCTGAAAATGGTAGCTGACAATGGCCAAGAAATAGGAATGTTAAGGTAACAATTCTTAAAGTCCCATTAAAATCAGAGGAAAAATCAGAGGAAAAAGTCAGAGCTGAGACATGGTGCTACAGTAAAGGCAGGAGGTTGAGAAACAGAAAAAATGGACCACTGGCATGCTGACTTGTCATGACTCAAAGGGACAGAGAGAGGTGAGAGGGGGATTCTGAGAGATCTATGATTCTGCAAATGAGGAAGAAAGGGCACACAATGGGAGAGAAATGGAAAAAAAGGAATGCAGAGATTGAACTAAGAAAGAAATATTGAACGAATCTCTTGGATTCATAAAAAAGTAAAGTGACTTTCAAAGGACTGGTCTGCACATTCAGTAAAATAAGGGAAAAGAATGGGATGTATCACTTTAGAAAATGCTGGATACTTGTGTTGACTGTTTCCCCATTTTTTTAAAGCTTCCTGTCTGTCAAAAATTAGTACACAGGGAGAAAAAATCCTAGCCAAGCTAGTTCTGCATTAGTTGCTGTTGTGTCCTACCTGCCAGTGTTTTGATATTGGGGGGGGGGGGCATTCAGAATTGTGATCTACCACCTGCAGTCTGACATGGCAGTGCTGATAAATGTCATAATTGGTCGTCTTGCTGGGTAAATGTCATCATTTGGGTCATCTTGCTGGGTAAACCTGTTCATCATGCTTCCCTTTGTAATGAGCATCCACTGGCATTTTGCAAATTCAGTACTAAGTTTGGGATGTTGACTAAGTATGTTGAGTCTGTACCTGAACAATGCTATTCCTGCACATGGTTTGTTTAACCCTTGAGTGATCTGCTGGGTCCATCCTGCTTCCCTCATCAGCACCATCACTGCAGCTCTGCAAAGAGGAGGACGAGTCGGCTGATCCTTCTGTCCTCCACTAACTGGTTATCAGTGACTGCAAGGAAATGCCACGTCACATAGGCTGTACATGTGACAGGAACCAAACAGGAAAAGGTGTACATAACACAGTCATATGCAGTTCTAAATTATAGCTTGGAGGGTATACTTAGTTTCTGTGGTTAGGTACACATGTAGAACTCTTGTATATGAAATGAGAGTTTATTTTATGAGAAAACTCTCACCCAAGTTCACTTGGGAGAATTCATGACTGCCTGAGAATAAAATCATAAAAGAATGATATGTTTTGCTGCAACCCTATGGCCTGCTGGAAGGGCTTCCCATGGGCCACTTGGGACATCAGAGGTCTGTCCTCAGAGGGAAACTTCAAACCTATCTCTCCACCCCTATGGAAATCTCCAGGGCCAGTTGTTCTAGGAGGGCCCTCCTGGCAAGCCCCTCAGCCTGATTCTAGGTCAGTGTGTGTCCTGGAACTGTTGTTATTAGTTTCCTGTCACTGACACCCATAAGAAAGAAGATGTAAAAAGAAAACTCTCTCACACAGAAAGACTATGGGAAAACACAAAAATGACTATGGGAAACCACTGTTCTTAACTTCTGCCCTACCATCCTGAGCCTTGAAGTCAGAGGTGTCAGAGCTTAGGTATCACGGGCACAAACACTCATGCACAGAAATTTTCTGTAAGTGAATGCTCTTCCAATAATTTTTATCTTCGGTTTTTTTTTTTTTAACTAGCTGGTTTGCCATTCACCCAGTCAGTATGAACAACAGCAACACTCTTACGAGTAGTGACAATGTTGGTTATGCAGCTTCTCTCTTGGAGCAAGAGAAGAATAAAGGATACTTGCCAGGGAAGGTAGGAACAATTTATGAAAATGAGACTAAGATAAATGACAGAAATGATGGTTTTACAAATACCTCTGCTTAATATACCCTAGTGTCAAAATGGTAATATAAGTCACCATAATGTGTGTTTACAATTGTTAGAGAAGTTCTACAGTACAGTTTACCACATTGCTTATCATTATAGGTTTTTTGATTTTAGCAAAGATACATTACCTACTAATCACTTCAGAAACAATTATAACATGTATTACATCTTACACTTTTTTTCTCCTAGTCCAGAAATTAGGCCAGGAATCTCATAAAACATTAGTCTCAGTCTAGCCAAAGCTAAGAATGTTAAAAGGTCATTTTCAAATGGCTTGCAAGATCCTTGGGAGAGGCCTTGAGAGAGGTCGTTTTGGCAGTGATACAAAAGAGGCCCTCATAGCGGGTCCTTGGCTATGGAATCCTGCCCAGGGGAGGCTAGTTCTGCTCCCTCTCTGCTGTCCAACAGGTGCAGACCACTTTATTCAAGTGGGCTGTTGGCATGCAAGCAGGTCTGTTGAACTGGATGCTGTTTTTACTCATTTACATCTATTTTCTTACATTGTTTTTATCAGTGTTTGTAAGCTGCCTGGAATGTCATTTTTGGAAGAAAGGCAGGGTACAAACCAAATAATGAAATAAAGGCATCTGAATGGAATTCAGGAAAGGGCGTGCTTAAACCTCCAGTCAAAATTGGTGGGATGCAACAGTATTTAGTATTAGCCACCGAGTGGCTGAAATCTTTTTCATTCAAAAATTGCATTAACTCTGCACAAGCACTGCCCCTGCACATTAGGGCTGGGAAAGGGAAAGGGAAAATGACCTGCATGCAAGTCCAGCCTGTCCTCCCTGCTCTTGACCTGACCACATGGTGCAGCAAGCTCTGAAGGGGGCTTTCACTCACGTTCACTTGAACACAGGTAGAATCCTAACTGAGATGCCCGATTAAGCAGGCTGAGGCAGAAGACTAGTTTAAGACCAGCTTAGCACTGTAGGCAGTGCCCTGGTCAATGTTTTCCACCACCTCCTCCATGCTCTCCAGCCTCTGCACCGGGGGCTGCTGCCTCATTCTACCTAGTGGCAGGGCTGGCCCTGGCAACTGATGAAGGGTAGGAATCATGGGGCAAAGGGTGGAGTGTGCTGATTTCCTTGGCTGGCAGGGAAGCATCTGGCCTGGTTTGCATAGAGGGAGACAGCAGGTGCTAAGAAACACTCCAGTGGAACAGGCTGCAGGTTTTCCAGGGCTGAAAAGCATGGCTTGAGAAGGATGGGCACGCATAGCTATTTAACCCTGGCACTGCCATCATATGGACTAGGCAAGGGTACAAGGTAGCTTCTGGCTAAGGAAGATGCTATGCTCAGAGCCCAGAGTTGGAGGATTTGAACTACCTTACCTACTTCTGCCTTCCTTTCTGCCAGCTGAATAAAGTAAAGGATCAGAATCCACAAAAACAAAACCAAATCAAACCAAACAAAGGGGATGCCTCTGTCATGACGGTAAAAACAGGTGGAGCCTCTTAATTACTCCAGAATCAAGATGGGACACTGAGTCACTGGAAACCCTACAGTACACATGACCACAACAAAAAGAACAGCCACACAATTTTCACATGACAGCTTAGAGTTTTTACTTCACCATCTCATTTACATAAAGAGCCGCCTTGTAATTAAAATGTTGAGGCCTTATTAGGTGCTAAATATGCAAAGATTAAATTATGCTGAAAGTAAGGAGATGGAAAAATGGGGTGGTGAGGACTGCAAAGATGTCACAAATGTTAGTTTTTGCTGAACATCAGAATGGAAAAGAGCCACTTTCTGTCCTTCCTCTAATTGTCTTTTCTGATACATGCTTAATTAAATAGGCATGGAAAATTGAAGTATATGAATGGTATCTAGGAATAGGGCAAAATGTATTTGATTCACATTTTAATACAAACTTATGTAATTTTTCACTTTCAAATCAGTATGGTGACCAAAACTTATGCTTTAAAATCCATCCTTCTACAAATTGTATAGTGAAATTGTGTCAAAACAGCATACAGAACTGGACATATTAGAGGAAATGCACACAAAATGCATATGTGGATGAAAGTAATGTTAACAGATGTATATCATAGACAGGCAGTGTGGCGTAGTGCTTTGAATGTTAGACTGGAACTCAGGAGATCTGGGTTCCATTCCCCACTCAGCCATAAAGGTCAATGGATGAATTTAGGCCAGTCACAGGTTCTCAGCCTGACCTACCTGACAGGGTTGTTGTGAGGATAAAAAGAAGAGGAGGAGAATCTTATGAACCACCTTGAGTGGGAGAAAAAGACAGAATATGCAGTAATACTGCAATATTAGAAAAATTGCTTGCAGGAATGTGTGTTTTAGGCAAAACTGCCTATAAAACTTGTGTGTGAGGAGAAACTTCCATGCAAATCTTTTTTGTTTGTTTTAAGTCAACATTTGAGTTCAACTAGAAAATTTGAAAAGTTTTCAAATTTCCAGACAAACTGAAGTTAAGACTGGAAAAATAAGAAACTGAGAGAAACCAAACTGACAGATTTGTATATTTCTATGACGTCTGTACCAGTTTCTCATTCTTGATTCTACCAGGATTTTCATGTGATAGAAGAACAAACCTGTGGCAGAACTTTTGTAACCATATCTTTGATAGAGTCATTGATATGTACTGTCCTTCTCTTCCAGGGACCATATGTAGCAGCCTTTGCATCAGCTAACCTGGGAGACGTCTCTCCAAATATAAAAGGCCCACACTGCATAAACACAGGGGGATCGTGTGAAAACCTCTACAATTATTGCCCAGTAGGCGGGGTAAGTATCGCATCTAGATGCAAGGGCTGAACTCTCTGCCACTGAAACCATAGACAACGCTACAACATTATTGAGGCACCAGTTGGTCTTTTACAGAAAACATTTTACTCTGTTTCAGCACCTCAGCGCCTGCACGCCCCACCCCACCCCCTGCCCAACCCACGCTCAGCACCAGGACCTTTCAGCTGGCCCCCTGGTGAAAAAGTTGGAGGACCCCTGGTCTGGAAGTTTCTCTGTACACTTAGCCAGAACTCCGTGGAATTTACACCCACGGAAATTCCACACTCCGTGGAATTTCCACCTGTGATTTGCACAGAATGACTATGTCCTTTGGTTGTGTTGTTGCTCTCAGGGCAGGAGTTATAGTCATTACTTAAAGGAATGTTTGTTTTCCTTTTTTTGCTGTATGAGGACCATATAGGTGGGGCGGGCTTGCATTGGGACAAGTGACTAGTCTCCAGCAATGTAAAAAGTGACATGAGATCAAATGGAGGGCTTTCATTTTTCCCCAGATAAGGCAAATAAAATACATTTTATATTAGCACTAGAGGAACAGTGCCTTAGCAAAGCTGTCTTCTTTGATTCGACGACCACAGACTTTGATGGGTTTTCCTTCTTTATACCATGGTACAGAACTTTATTCTAATTGTTTGTGAATTTCTCCTTTTAATTTCTTCTTCTAAGGCCAAGATGTGCATAGCTACAGGTCCTGGCAAGGATATGTTTGAGAGCACAGGAATAATTGGAAGAGCAATCTACTTGAAAGCAAAGGTAATTCTAACAAATGAATGGGATACATTTTTCACAGTAAACAATAATATTTTCTGAAAACAAAGTTTACATGTGTGAAAATTCTGGGCTGTCCCCTCTCTCTCTTCCCTCTCTTTATGTGTGTGTGCATGTGTGCTTGTGTATCAGTTGTAAATTAAAAGATGCAAGTATAATTCTTTAGGGTTCTTTTTCCAGACTAACCCAAGGACACAGGAGAAGTAACTAGACAGTCTCTTCTTGATTTATCTTCAGCTGAACTGTATATGTACCTTATCCTATAGGGCAGTGATGGCGAACCCTTTAGAGACTGAGTGCCCAAACTGCAACCCAAAACCCACTTGTTTATCGTAAAGTGCCAGCACTACAATAAAACCTGAAAACTGAGGGTTTAGTTTAGGAAAAACAAGTCACAGCCAGTCCAAGCAAAATATATGTATCCTTGGCAGCACACTGACCAGCCATGCGAAAGCTCGGATAAATTGCAGCTAACAAGTTGCGGCTTGTGACATCATCGCCAGGCACCACTGCTCCTTTCCGAGCGTGCGCGTGGCCCCTGTGTCCACTTTTATCCACTGCTCGGCCGCTGGGCGATGCTGGGGCGACTTGGCTCGCATGCCGACAGAGAGGGCTCTGCGTGCCCAGTGCGGCACTGTGCCATAGGTTCACCACTACTGCTATACGTGATAGGCCTTGACTATGCGTGGTGGTGGTAGCACTGGTATTTACCAAATGTTATTGATAATTAGCCTGCATCCCTTTCAATGTAATATTATGAACAAACTAAGCTGTATCCTAAGCCACTAACAAATGACACCATTCAAGCTTTTATGAGGCAAATATTCTGCACCTAATAATAATAGCCACTTTAAATACTATTTTGTTATGGATTCCCACTGCTGTTCTAATGTTGATCTTTGGTATATTTTAAACATTGGAACTATATATTTTGTGCATTTTAAATATAAGAAGCTGCCTAATGAGGGCTTACCCCTAAAAGTCAGCTTAAGCATTATCTTAAATAAATAATTAGGAAGGATAGAGTCTTGGGGCCAGCAACCCCCAGGAGTTTTGAACTACAGCTCCCATCAACACCGGCCCAATATGATTGATGTCAAGGTTCAAAACACCTGGATGATCCTACATTGCTTCCTGCTGATATATATCTCAGTAGGAGCAACTCCAGAGGGTAGAAGAGATTGGTCTTGTTTCCCAGTGTAATGTTTCATGTGGCCATTCTCAGCCCACTCCCCCCAATCCCAAGACTAGATGCATGAAAGGTAAGAGGAAAAAGCCCCGCCAGTGCTGTTAACACCTGTGCTTTGCCAAGGGAACATTATGGCTGGTGCTTGCACCATCTCAGGAGCAAAGGGACCACGCTCCAACTCTCCTGTTGGTGGAATGGAACTTCTGGAAGTATCAACAAGCTGGTTTTCAAATGACCTTTTGTATTTTAGGAATTATACCAGGCAGCCTCTGAAGAGATAAATGGTCCCATCAGTTCAGCTCACCAGTGGGTGGACATGTCTAATGTTACTGTACAGCTCAATGCCACTCATACGGTAAAGTACTGCCAAGGTGACTTTTTAGGTGGGAAATAACCCTGTTGTGCTATCTACATGCATAATGTTTCATATTGTTTTTCCAAAGGGTAAAACATGCAAGCCAGCCTTGGGGTACAGCTTTGCTGCAGGTACTATGGATGGTCCAGGAATGCTCAATTTCACCCAAGGCAAGTGAGGGGCAGGGGAATGGATTATATTCATTATTGTTACCACTTGAAAAAAATCACATGCAGTATTAACTTTGTTGATTCTATTGTGTTGCCTATCTTGTATTCTAATATTTTGGATTACAATACATCATTCTAGCATTATGTCCCAGTGTGGGAACAACAATCCTTTCTTCTCAAACACCTGGTAATCCATTTTTGGATATTTATACCATGCCTCTCTGTGACAAACTAAAGATGACTGTTAAACCAAAATTTATATCATTTTAGAGGTTTACCTCTATATTTAAGTTTAATTAACTACTGAATTGACTATACCTGTTAAATTGGTAGGTGGCAGTAGGTACAGGAGATGGAAGTAGGGCTAGGCTGCAAAGGAAGAATGTAAACAAATAGCAAGGAATTGCAGGGATGATGCCAGGAAGGCTAAAGCAGAAAATGAGCTGGGACTAAGGAAAGGATGCTAAGAACAAGAAAAACCCTTCTTAGATAAATCCAAAACAAAAGACATGTGAAAGAAAATGGTGTCCAGCTACTTAAAGTGGATGGCAAAGTGATCACAGATGACAAGGAAAAGACTGAGGCACTCAATTCCTACTTTGCCTCAGTCTTCTCCCACAAGATCTACAATGAGGAGAAAGTACAAGCTGAAAGTGAGGGATGGCAGCCCAAGGTTGACAACTGAAGGTTCAAGGCATATCTAGATAGAATAGACATGTTCAGATCTCCAGGGCCTGATGAACTCCATCCCAGAGTCATAAAATAGCTAGTGGAGGAGCTCTCAGAACCACGGGCTATTATCTTTGAGAAATCATGCAGAAGAGAAATGCCAGAGGACAGGAGAAGAACTAAAAAGCGGGGAAAGACAAACTTGGGAATTACAGACCAGTTAGTCTGACATCAATCTGTGGAAAAATTCTGCAGCAAATTATTAAAAATTCAGTCTGCAAGAATGTAGAAGAAAATGCAGTGATTAATAGAAGCCAACATGGATTTATCAAAAATAAATCCTGTCAGACTAATTTAATCTCATTTTGACTGGGTAACCTCCCAGATGGGCAGAGGGAACACTGTGGACATAATCTACCTTGACTTTAGCAAAGCTTTTGACATAGTTCCTCATGACATCCTGATAAACAAATTAGCAAAAAGTGGACTAGATAGAAAAACTATTGCGTAAATCCAAAATTAGGTGGCTGCTAAATCAGACACAACAAGTGCTCATCATTGGCATCTTGCCAAACTGGAAGACGGTAACTAGTGGGGTGCAATTAATGATTTAGATGAGGAAGCACAAGGAACAATAATCACATTTGAAGACAATACCACTGGAACATTCTGGAAGACATGCAGGGCTGAAAGCAACAGAATGCAATTTAATAAGGACAAATGCCAAGTTCTCCACCCAGGAAAAGAAACCTAATGCATCAATACAAGATTGCTCAACAAAACTGAAAAAGACCATGGGGTTACAGTGCACAAGAGGCTAAATATGAGCCTACAGTGTGATGAAATTGCAAAAAGGGCAGATGCTATTTTGGGATACATTAATAGAAGTAAACTGAAAGAAATAGTTCCCCTATATCCTTCACTAGTCAGACCTCATCTAAAATACTGTGTCCGGTTCTGGGCACCAAAATTTAAGAAATTAAAATTAGGGTTCAGAAGAGGGCAACAAAAATGATCCAGGGTTTGGAAACACTGCCCTATGAGGAGAGTTAGAGAATTGGGCATGTGCAGCCTTGAGAAGAGAAAACTGAGTGGGGGGCATGATATGCCTCTATAAGTACCTCCAAGGCTGTCACAAAGAGGAAGGTCAAGATCTCTTCTTGCTGATGCCAGAGTGTAGGACATGGAATAGTCAATTCAAGTTACGACAAGCCAGACTCAGGCTAGATGTCAGAAAAGGTTTCCTCAGTGCCAGAGCAATACAGCCAGTGGAACCAGCTGCCTGGAGAGGTTGTGGTCTCTCCCACACTAGAGACATTCAAAAAGGAACCGAACAACCATCTGAGTGGGATGGTGTAAATTGGTGACCTGCAACAGGAGAGATTGGACCTGATGGCCTTCTTGGCCCCTTCCAACTCTACTATTCTATGATGATTTTACTTCAGCAGTTTGAAAATCAGTATTCACCAGCAATATCATTTATTGATTACCACTATAAACATTTTTAGGGGGATGTGAAACATAAGTCTGGTACCTACTAGTACAGTTTTTTTCAAGACATTAGAACAGAAACCACATATCTGATTAAAGCTTTTTGAAAATACTAGGTTATGTAAATTACTCATTTTCTAAAATGTGCATATTCAAGAATTAGTTGGATAATCTACTGATATATATTTCTTGAAAAATATTAAGAAGGATGGGAAAAATTCTATCAACACCTATCTATTGACAGGCACAATGGAAGGTAATCCATTCTGGGACGCAATCCGTGATAGTATCCTTGTTAAGCCATCCAATGAAACACAAGAATGCCATAGACCTAAGCCTATTCTCTTGCCTACAGGAGAGGTATGAAACAAGAAATCTTGCAGCCAATGACCTTTGACTTGTTGGGGTCACCTTCATTTAGGATCCTCCATGTTAGATCTTGAGAGAAAGGGTGCCACCCCCCCACCATGTCTTTAGCTTACTGAGCCCAAAACATAGCTTAGCTTCTTTTGCCTCTCTTCCATTGTTTTCCTGGCACACACAGATCTCAGTTTCCTCTTCCCTGTCTGCACATGTGCAGGCAAGAGGTACAGCACTTCACTTTGTTCAGAACATGTCACTTCATTCAGAAGTTCTACCTCCTCCCCTGCTATTCCGAGCAATTAACCATCAGCCTTCCAAGCAGAAGGAAGGCGTAGTGATACTGGACCAACAGGTTGGACCATAGTGAGACTGGAGCAGCCGACTTGAGCAGATTAATGTAGTCCTTCTGGCCCCAGTATTTCTATCCTATCCAAACCTCCAAACCTTCCATAATACTTTAGACATGTACAAAATGTTCCCAAGTCTTAGAGGAGGCACTTCCAAGTCGGAGGAGAGTAGATTTTTTTGTTGAGGGGGTAGGAGAGTAAAGTAGCCTTCTGAATTAATTACCCCTTCTTCACTGCCCAGCTCATTGCATAACAAAGAACTTGTACTAGGTTTCCTATTTCCCAGAGTCCCTTACAGCACATATTGGAGTCGGATACCCGAAAGCCAGACACTGTGATGTTCTGTGAATTTTTCAGAAATTACAAGAGCTTACATACCATCTGGTTCATGGCCTCAGTATCTCATGATAGATGCTGAGCACTTAATTCTGTACAATGCAGAGTGCATTAAAAAATGGAATCCCTGCCAATGATCTGATGGGTGGGAAAGGAAATATGCATGAGGAGAACAACTCCTTGCCCTGTTTCTCCCCCTGAATGGTGAAGGGTAACCTTTGTCTTTCCAAAACTAGGCCCGAGTTGGTCAGCTGATAATTCTTGTCTCTTAAAATAGCAGTGGTCAACCTGAGGGACCCCTGATGTTGTTGGACTTTAAGGATGATGGAAATTATAGTCCCTCAACATCTGGAGGGCCAAGGCTGCCCACCCTGCTATGAGGCCTTCCAGATCAGGCTTGTTCAGGCTTGCACCTAGGAGGCTCTGTTTAGCTTCTCCTTGAGCTGGCAACAGCTGGTATTTGCCTTTGCCCCATCTTAATTGGATACGACAATGTCCAGGACTCACAGGGTCAAAGCACTGGGACTTTCTGATTAGCTGGGATGGTGACATCATCATCATCATCATCTCTCTTACCCATCTTCTCTCTGAGTTTAGCTTAATCCTTGCAGGACTGGGAGCAGGAAGCTGGGGCAGGGGGTAGGGAGGCGATAGATTTTCCCATCATCCCTCACTACTGGCTTGCTGACTAGGGCCAGCAAGGGTTGCAGGCCAGCAACATCTGGAGGGCCATAATCTGCCCATCCCTGCTTTAATATACCATCCTCTCACATACCTGCTCATACCCCCAATTCCCTTGAGCAACATTAGTGGAGAAGTTTGGCTGTTGATGGTAATCTTGTTAGTGGTCAAATAAGACTGACACAAGATTCCCCTTCTTTCCTGAACTACATAAGCTTTCCAGACCTTATCCCTGGCATCCAAACATAATTGATATTCAAATAGTTACCATTGGATCTGCGGCAATAGTGGCTCTTCCAGGAGAATTTACGTACGTATTGCTATTCTGTGTCTATAGTATTATACATTTATGGGATTTTGTGCCAAGATTAGAAATGGGATCAAAATAATACACTTATTCAAGGAAAAGAGCTTGTTCTGGGAAACAGAGCTACAGTGACACAGTTTGGAGAGCAACGAAGAAAAGCAGAACTTTGACAATGTAGAACAGACAATATTGCATTTAAATATTAACTTACTGTAAAGTATGCAAGGAAATTGAATCTCTGATGGACTTTACAGTTGGAACAAAATGGCTCCAACCCAGCAAATATTCATCATGACTAAGGAAGTAATCTGCCATACGTTTACCTGGCTATAAGCCCCATTGAATTAATGAGACTAGAGCAGACATGGATTGGGTTGCCTGAAGGTCCCATTGCATGCAGTAGGGCTCAAGCTACTCATTATTACCTTCTTCTCATAGTAAGACTTAGCTGGATTGGAGCCAATATATTCCCATTCTGTTCCTACTCATTTCCACAAGGTCAGCCATGTCAATGATTTTTGTTGACCTCTTAACCAGCGGTGGGCACCGTTTCTTGGATGGAGGGCTGCACTGATGGCTACGGAATTTGTGAGGTCCACAGGGTTGGCTGCCCTAGCAGTGGGCAGGGTGATGGTGGGTACAACCAAGACAGGTGGGGCCACACATACTCCCTCTTCTCCTCCCTCCCTCATACATACAGGGACCCTTCACACTGTCTCTGTCTCTCACTCACACACCTGTGTCCTGAACTAATGCCCTACATCCCTTCAAGGGACTTTGAATGGAAAGGTATGGAAACTGATATAGCTATTTTCATGTCTCTCAGGACAATGTCTGGGCGAAGAGTACGGGAAGCTCTGAAGAGAGTAAGTATGGAGTTTCAGATTAGATAAAAATAAATTACCCAGAAAAGGAGTTTTCCTCTTCCTTACTTCTCAATTTTCCTTTGAATGAATTTGCTAGTATATGGGACCTATTAAGCTAGTTCAAGCGATACCTTCCTTCTGGTATACCTGCTTCTTGTACTGCCCACACTCCCAAAGTACAACCTCCTCCCATTCAAATCTAGGGCAGTTCACACTGAAATGCATTTTCAATTATCTTTCAAATGGCTCACTTTTCTGATTTTTGCAACACAATTGTCAAATTGAAAAAAAAACCTGTTAAAGCACCCAGAGCATTTCAGCTATTCGACAGTATAGAAAATATAATAAAATAAATTATGACATGAAATGAAAAAAATTGGGATGAACCAAACTTAAGATGGAAAATGAGAAGTGGAGAGAAATGGAAACTGATTCATCACAACATCAAGTTCTTCTTTGACTTAACTGTCTATCCTGAGGGCACCCCTGCAATGAACACAGGTATGCCCACACACTTCCAGAGCTATTCCTAGTTCCAAATACATAATGCTTTGACTAGTCAACTCTCTTAGCAATCAGAGCTTCTAAAACCCAGATATTCGAGGATTACATGAAGAAAGGGCTGAGCTCTGCAGCTTATTGACACAGAAATAGTTCTTGCTGTCCACCATGTAATAGGCATAGGTCAACTCTCCACCTGCCTGCAGGACATTTGGCCCCTGTAACTGCCTCTTCCAGTGATATACCATTCTTGGAAGGATGAGACCAAATCTGGGCACCTGAGTTCTTAAGCTTCTTCCTGGTGTCATGTGCTCTGCAAACTGTGGAAGCAGAATATTCAGATTATTCAGGCCCCTGTATTGATCCACCCGTTAACAAGACATTCATCAGTCTCAATCCCCACTGCAATTGCAAAGGGTAGCTCTACATTTGCTCATATGATCCCTGTCATTATAATCTCAGGATAACATGACAGAGAGGACAAGCCCATCTGTTTCCCTTCAGAAGAGCTGCCTCCTCTTTGGTCCTGAAGATCTAATAAGTACAGGTGTCATAAGTACAGGTTAGGGGACAAGTGGCTGGAGAGCAGCACTTGTGAAAGGGACCTTGGGGTACTGGTTGACTGCAGGCAAAACATGAGTCAGCAGTGTGATGCGGTGGTCAAGAGGGCGAACGCCACCCTCGGTTGCATAGCCAGAAGTGTGGCTTCTAGATCGAGAGAGGTATTACTACCACTCTATACGACTCTGGTGCGCCCGCAACTGGAGTATTGTACTCAGTTTTGGGCCCCTCATTACAGAAAGGATATAGCCAGGTTGGAGTCAGTGCAGCATAGGGCCACAAGGTTGGTGGCCGGTTTGCAGGGGATGGGGCATGAGGCGAGACTGAGGGAACTGGGTCTCTTCAGCCTGGAGAAGAGGAGACTCAGAGGGGATATGTTGGCGACATACAGGTATGTGAGGGGATGTCACATGGAGATGGGTAGAGACCTGTTCTCCCCTGCAGAGGAAGGCAGGACGTGCTCCAACGGAGCAAAGCTCAGGGAGCCAAGGTTCCATTTGGATGCCAGGAAGCACTTCCTGACAGTCAGGACCCCGAGGGTGTGGAATGGGCTTCCACGAGAGGTCATTGAGGCCCCATCGGTGTGGGTGTTCAAGGATAGGCTGTACAGGCACATGGTGGGCATGTCGTGAGCGGAGCTGGCTGGTGCCGGAGGTCAGACTAGATGGCCCGGGAGACCCCTTCTGACTCGCTCTGTTTCTCTGTTTCTAATGCCAGCAGATTTCTAATTAGCTCCACCATGTTGTAGGGATAAGGGAGTAACAACAGGACAAGATCAGCTCAAGCGTGGCGTATGTATCTAGATGCTGGTAAAGTGAGACATGCAGGGAGCAGTGGTGAGGTGTCATGCAGTTCCTATGATGAACAGAAGGGGCCTCCCTTCTCCCATACCAAGCCACCTATCCACTGCAATCAGCACCTGAAGTTCCCTTGCTTCCTGGAGTATAGTGGGCATGGGTAGCCAGAGTGGGACTCTTTCCATTTGTGCTTCCACTGCTCTGAAATGCCCCCCCTCACACCCCGGTGCTTGTATTACTATCCTTTGGGCACCAGATCAGAATGGTTCAGTCTTCCCCAGTGTTTAAGAACTGAACTTTAATTTTTGGACAGCTTTGATTGTTTGGAGATTGATAAGTTTTGTTTTAATTTTGTAGATTTCATCCTTTCCTTACATTTTGCAATAGCTTTTTTCTCTATTGTTAGTCATTGTTGGAGCTTAAAGGTACAAAATATAAATTATATATAAATACAAGCAAAAAACCCCCTATTATTATGTCTGTGTTCTGAAATGGAAATTGTTCTGTTTCTTAGGAATTTGAAACTCATGGAAAATCAGGAATGAATATTTTGCTTTCAGGATTATGCAATGTTTATACCCATTATATAGCTACTTATGAAGAATATCAGGTAAGGACACTGGCAACACTCTAAGACAACATTTCTTTTGATAATAACCAGCCATCTTTTATTACTGTGACAAATCCTGGTCCTCACCCATTTTTTTTTTTTTAAATCAAAAGTTAACATTTGGAATTAATTGCTCCCAGGAATAAATGTAGAGAGATTTGGAAGTCCAATATGCAGGATGTGACGATTTAAAAGTCTAGAAATAGTTTCTAAATTACTGATGGTAGTAGCTCTACTTTACTTTGCACTGGACAGATTTTGCCTTGAATGTTGAGTCTGATTGATCAGAGGATTGAAAATTAAGTCATATAAGGACCTACTGAAAAAACTTGGTATGTTAGCTTTGGAAAGAGAATAATGTATATGCTAGCATTTTTCAAGTACCTAAAGGACTGTCACACAGAAGAACACAGCCTAGTTTCTATTTTCAAAGATTGTAGAACACAAAATAATGGATAAAACCTGGGCTGAACCCAACTGAGCACAGGTAGGAGCTCATTGTCAAGCCTATTTTGTGGCAGTGAAGGCAGCTAAAAAAGCCTCCTTCTCTGCCACCATCACATCCTCTGGGTGCTGTCTAGAGGAGCTGTTCCAAGTAGTTCATGGCTTTTTATGCATTGGCCCTAAAGAGGACCAGGTAGAACCCTTGGTGGCCCACTGTGACAAACTTGCACAGCACTTCAAGGATAAAGTTGCTCAGATCCAGCATGAATAGGACTCCACATTTGATGGAGTTTCTTTAACAGAGGCATCTGGTGCCCCGTCTGGTCCTATTTTATTGGGTAAGTTCCAGTTGTTGAAGCCTGATGATGTGGACGAGGTACTTGGACAAGTGTGGCCTACCACCTGTGCTCTTGCCCCTTGCCCCTCAAGGCTGCTTCTCCAAGCCAAGGAAGGAAAGCGAGCCTGGGTCCGGGCAGTTATAAATGCCTCTCTGAAGGAGGGGCCAGTCCTGTCTCCATTAAACGAGGTGATGATCAGACCTCTCCTGAATAAGGCAAGTCTGGATCTGAATGTTATATACATTTCAGCCCCAGATTAAAACTTTTTAATTTTCCTGCCACTCGGTTGGATGATTTTCCAGTTTTATATTGGCTTTTAAATAGTCTGGTACATGTGCAATAGTTGTTCTTATGTATTGTGCTGTATTGCTGTTGTTGTATATGTCTGCAAAAGAATTTATTGTACAGAGATATTTTATTGCAGGTGAATAGGTTTTAAATTGTTTAAATTGTTGGAGTTTGTATATTTTAATTACATTGTGTAAACTGGTTTGAGAGCATTATGCTAATGCTATAGATAAATAAATAAGTTGCAGGAAGACAGATTTTGGTTCAAAATTAGAAAAAAATGTGCAGGCATTCAGAACAGTCAGACAATGGAACTAGCTGCCTAGGGAGATAATGGGCTTTCTATTGCTGGAAGAATACTTGAGACTGTGAAGCCATCTCACAGGGATGCTTTAAACTAGAGGGCCAGTGTGGTATAGAGGTTAAGAGCACAGGAATGGGGCTCAGGAGACTGGGGTTCCAGTCATCACTCAGCAGGGAGCTCATCGGGTGACTTTCGGTCAGGCACAGACTCTCAGCCCAGCCTAGCTCACAGGATTGTTGCTGTGACGATAAAATTGAGACGAGAAAGAGAATGATGTAAACTGTCTTGGATTTCTGTCTAGATTCCTGCACTGAGCAAGAAGTTGGACTTGATGGCCTAAATGCCTTTTCCAGTTCTATTATTCTATAAACTCTCCCTTCTGATCCTAAATTATACTGCTGAAATTCAGAATGCTTACATTAAAAAAAAATAGGCATGTGAAAGAATTGTGGGCTGCATCTAGTTCTGGTCCTCAGGAGAAGTTTCCAGGCTACCCGTTCTTTAGTCTTTAATTTTTTAAAATATGTGTTTTTTACATCAGACCTTGGTTGGTGGATCTAAAGGTTCCAATGCAAAAAGAAAAAAGAAAAGAAAAAAGGACCCACTGTATTTGCTGAATAATTCGAATGTCTTCCTATCTCATCTCATCTCATCTCATCTCACCTCATAGGTTCAAAGATATGAGGGAGCTTCCACCATTTTTGGACCACACAGTCTTTCTGCTTATATCCAGTTATTCCGAGGTCTGGCCAAGGCTATTGCTACGGTAATAAAAAGTTGTATCAATGCATAGATGTGTAGAGAACTGGGACAAATTTCTCTCTGTGCTTAAATAGAAACAGAAGTGTAGGTTCTTTCAACACCATTTTATAAGCGAGTTTAAAGTCCATAAGCACTGTTATAGAGGAAAGGCAGTATCATAGTGAAATTCTTTTATTCTTGAATTGATGCTATGGTAAGCATACTTGTTGGCTAAAACGCCATCATTATATTGAGATCAGCGGCAGCCCAGAGAAGGGTTGCCCAGCTGAACTCTGTCTGGGGGCAAATGCAAAGAGCCATGGGGCCAGGGCCAACCTAGAAATGCCTGGCTTTGCGGATGCAGCATGCTGGAGCTCTCTGCCATGCCTAATCAGTAATGGATCCATTATGTGCGTTCATATTGCACACCGCATAGCAGGATCAAAAGAAATACGAAATCACTAAGAAGAATGCAAGCAGCATTGAGTCGCTGCCTGAACTTTAGATAACCCAGTTTGTATTCACATGTGATTTCACATGCTTTTGCCTTTCCCATTGTACAGAATATTTGCACAGGTTACTTCAATAAAGGAAATGGCTATCAACTAGAGAGCTTCAGCTATGTGGAGTATCAGAATGAAATAAAATGAATGATCTAATTTTGCACAAGTAGAAGGTCAACTTACACAGCAAGCTCTCCCTCCCTCCTCTTCCTTGCAGCCACCTGAACCCCCCACCCCCTGAACCTATCAGATTATAGACTGAACTTTGTGGAAGTGCCGTGGGAGGGAGGAATGGCTCAAAATTCCCACACAAGGATTGCAGGTTTCCTCCGCCTGATCTTGGGCAACTCCTCTTGCCCACTGCAGTTCTGTAAGATTCAGCCCCAGATGTTCCATAGGATTGTCAGGGGGCTTCGGGAGGGCAAGGGAGAGCACCCTCAGGGGAGCTGCCCTCACAGCTGAGCTCAGTTACGTCCTTTCCTGCCTCAGGTGGGCTACACAGTCCCACTTTTGTTCTACCACTGACCTGTTGCTGCTTCTCCTTGTCCTTTTGTGTATTCTATTTGTTAAGATGAAATCCAGTTTTCATTTCAAAGCAAATTACTTTTGTTTCAGGATACTATTCAGGACTTACCAACACTTCCAGAACCAATCCTGTTTAATATAAGCCTGAATTTTTTGCCCCTACTTGTCGATGCAAAGCCACTGGGTAAAAAGTATGGAGATGTTACGCAAGATGTGCAGCCAAAGTACCAAGTGGTATGTATATCTTTTAAAACAACCACCAGCAGCCTACAAGCCACTTATTCCATTTCTTAATGCACCCTACATGCCAGGCCTGAAGCTTCTGCCTTCCTGGACTTGCTTCCATGGGTTGCACCTCAGGCAGCCGGGGCTGTGTATAACCCATGAGCTGCATATTGGTCGCTTTGGCTAGATTCTAGGAATAAACCGATTCTTTGACTGCTGAACCACATGTAGCCAAAACAAACAAAGCTATGCACAAGAAAGAGGTCACATCAGATGTGGGGGCAACTCCAAGCTTTATGGAAGTGCTAAAAATGTCTTAGGGGAAGGAAAAAATTAAAAACCAGTTGAAAATTGACCATGGATCATTGGCTGTGTGCATAGGGAGAAACTAGGAAACCTGGGGAAACAGGAAAATGCAGTGGGGTATTCTGGCAGGCTGGAACCTTGAAATCTGCAACTCAATATTTTTGGAGGTCTCACCTGTATAATAGATGCTGGCTCAGCATGAAACCTAATGGTGACTTCAGCTGAGCTGTGAACCCCAAATAACCATTAAGAGCAAAACCCAGAATAGGGAACATTGGATATTACCTTGAATTTAAATCTCTTGGAAAATCAGCACTCTTTGTCTCTAGTGCATTAACAGCTCTATTGTATTACAAAGAAGAATGACAACTTTACCTTATCCCTGTGGAGATCATTTGTCCTAACAGTTGAAAACAAGGCATCCATCACCAGCAACTTTGGTTGCTCCAGTAAAAGCCAATAGCCCGAGATGCAGCAGATTCTGATACATGCAACACAGGCATCTTTTGGAGTCCGCTTGGAGTTCATTTAAGCCCATTGATCTAAAATGGATCCATACTGGACTCTGTTACAGAGTTTCCACTGAAAAAAGCATTTCTTCATTCAATCTTTAACTAATTTGTGTCACTTAGTGTGCCATTCTATACAAGTTTCAACTGAAAATATGCCTATGGCTCCCAGCATGCTTCAGCCAGCACCAACTGGAACATATGTGGCGTCATAGGCCTTTATTCTTTTGAAATGCTCATGAGATTGCACGCTTATCCAAGCCAAGGAAGGAATGGCTGCTTTCTGTGCTGGACCCTGGAATATTGCTCACATATTTGCGAAGACACTAGAATGCTTCTAGTACTTGACTGCACAGCTTCCTTCTCCCTCCCTTAACAACTAGCCCCTTTCTTCTAAGCTATTTACCCTGTAGAATGCAAGTACCTTCACATTTTGTACAGGCTCCACCACAGCACTCAGAAGTCACTTGAGCTGAAAAAGCAGCAGCCACCTAATTTCAGGAGGCTGCTGCAGAAGCAAATACTTGGTGGCTTGTAGTCTTGTGCAACATCTGCATTTCTCTTCTCATAACGTTCTCTCATCTAGGGAGAGGTTGCTGTCGCACATTTTGTTGGTGCAAATCCCAGGAATTCTGCAGAAAATATGGTAAGAATCTGAAACTTTTTTTCCTGATGGTTTGGGTCCACAGCTCATTTCCCTCCTAGGCTTATCTGTGGGGGGCAGAAAGACAAGTCATAAGAAAGCAACAAGGGTAGAGAAGAGGAAACACAGGAGGATTGGGTGTTATAAAAGCAAATGATTTAAGAACAGCTCAGGATGATCCATCTCAGTGGGAATGATGGGCAGAGTCAGTCTGGACTGTGCATCTTAAATCCCTCTGAGACCCTATTTTATATTTTGCTCTTTAGTTTCTGACCAGTTGCACCATTTCTTCCAGACCACTTTCACATTCCTTACGGTAGAGAAATATGACAATACTTCCCAAAGTTGGCAAGTGGTGCAGGAAGATGCTTCTTGGGACACAAGGTGAGCAATTTTACCCTGTCATCACACATTCAGAGAAATTCCCAGATCCAACTTATCGCTTATCGCTTCCAGTAGACAGGTGCACACCAGCAGACATGACGGTGCTCTTAGCAGTGTCAGCAGAAGGCAGTGTGCAGCTGTTTCATCTTCTGTCTCCTGACTGGACTTCCTAAACATGAAAAAATGGAAGTGTTGACAGGAAAATATGGAAGGGATCCAAGAGGAAAAATCATGTAATATGTGTGTGTGAGAGAGAGAAAGAGAGGGAGGGAGGGAGGGACCAACCTCCAAAGCTACTATGTGACTCAGGAGGAGGAGAGTTCCTGCGAGTGCCTTGAGAACCTAGTATTGCTAACTCAGGTCAAGAAAACAGAACAAACCACACAGAAAGCCAGGCAGAGCCATGCTGGCCTTTAAGAAAAAATCCAAGATCTTTATTAGGGTGACACTTTTTATTAGGCCCATCAAAAGTTAGCAAAAGAGTACACAAGCGTTTGAGTTCCTCAATCAGGCTAGATACTGTATGGTGGCTACGGGGGTCAGCTGGCTGGCTTTGGAGCAAGGAGTCTGCTTTCGGTGATAGCCTTGCGATGGATTGTGGAGGAAAGAACAGGTGCTTCAATTAGGTTCCCCTGTGGGGTGGGCAACTTGTGAGCCTCCAGTTGTTTGCAGCTACAGTTCCTATCAACCTTAGCCAGGGAGAGATCTTGGGCATTGTAGCCAAAACCAGTGGAGAGACACAAGTTGCCCATTGCTGCTCTGTTAGTTTCAGGCTGTATCTAGGACTATCCCTAAGATGAGTGGATAACAGCTGGATTTTATATTTTTCAACAGGGGAAAATATCGACCTTAGGGAATGAGATGGGGAGGATAGGTTGCCAGGAGCCCTAGTCCAACACCTCTTGAAGGCACTGGGTGGGAAGGAAGGCCGCTCTGGCTCTCTCCTGGTGTTGTTACCAGATTCATTCATATTTTCCTAAACCAGATTTATAACATCTGCATAAGTTGCTCTACCATCAGTCGGACATAATTAAACACAATGGGCAACTTTGGGACATGAAATAGACACATTGCCTGAGAGCACCAGTATTGGAATTGTGGTCTTCCAGAATATCCCTGCAGGAATGTGTCCAAAGGGAGGAATCCTCTGCTGTCTGTTGTGTTACAAATGCTTGTGGTGGGGCTAAAAGATTCAGCAGCCAGGCAGCTTCAGTCAATCTGGCCACTTTGAGGACCATGTGGTAGAAAGTGGAATTATAAATAGCCTACCAGTATGGGGCATGTTAATTTAATATTTAGCCTTTTACCCACACAGATTATAGCTTTAAAAACCTCAGTCATAAATCTAAACTTTTGTTGCTGGTCATTGCTGTCTCATGTTCATCCCAGCTAGAATCAGAAAGTAAGGCCTGGCAAGACCAAGGGCTTCCCTAGGCAAGAATGACCACTCACTCATGGAAGTTGGTGGGTCTTTGCATGATATCCTCCTCCAGAGACTCTCCCGGGATTTCCACTCTTTTTAGCAGGTTTTATCTTTTTAGCAAGGAAAATTTGGTATTTTGGACTGAAACATATAGGAACAAATGTTTTCTGTATTGCCAGAATCTGCTATTGTGAAGCTATACCACTGTATCACCTTGTGTTTGGCTAATAGACTATATTAGAAAGGCAGAGAAATACAAATCCTAAAAAACAAAGCAAAGCAAAGCAAAACAAAACAACACCTCCTGTGTAAAGGACACTTTTTCCATCTACAATGAAAACAGAAGATGCCTCACAAACTGTGGAATAAACCCTCATATAACGAAGCTCCAAATGCTAGAAAGAGCATTCCGTAGTCATTAGTGCTTCTAGACCCAGTTATGGAATATACATTGGAGAAAAGAAGGCTCACCTGCAACCATACTTTTTATTCCTCTCCTCAACATATGGGACCACAAAACTTTCTCCCATAATGCAGAGTTTCCTATTTGTCTGACAGACTGGGATTGTAGACTTTTAAAATGTTTCCTGTTTCATATAATATGGCAATTTTCCTCCCTACCACAAGAATCTTTGGCCTAGGGAAGGAGTAAAATATGTAAGAAAATTGTGCCTCTTTCAGTTAGTGTCCAAACTTCTAGCCATGGGAGTTGTTTTTCTAAGACGATTCTGCCATTTCTTTTCCTGTGTTCATGTCGTGTTAATGAGCTCTGAATGCACACTGCATAATGCAGCAATTCCTCAACAGTAAAGACATTTATGCAATTTACAGGATTAAGCACTGAGCTGGAATGAAGGGATTCGGAGAAGGAAATGAATGTGTCACACAAATGTTGCTATTCATTTCTTCTGCATTCCATCATGAAAACATAAACAATTAACAACTGTTTGTGTTTTAGCAAATGTGTCTAGAGCAGCCTTTCCCAATCCAGTGTCCTCCAGACATGTTGGGCTATAACTTCCTAAATCTTCAGCCAGCTGGCTGGGTTTGCTAAAAGTAATCCAACTCATCTGAGGGGAACAGGTTGGGATTGGCTGGTCTAACTATCAGAGCCAGACAACTTGCTTTTCTTCAGATGGATGAATTGGTTTGATTTGTGATACTTGCTTCTCCCACCAGGTTCATCTGGCAAAAAGGCAGTCTGAAATACAGCACAGCTATAATAGAATGGCACATTCCAAAGAACACTGAACCAGGAACTTACAGACTGCAATATTTTGGTCACAGCAAGGAATTCCTGAAGCCAGTCCTTGCATTCAATGGCTCATCCTCGGTGTTTGAAGTATATTAAAATTGCTAAACAGTTATTACAGGGTTGGATTCAGGTTTAGATGTGCACTATGGAGGAATTAAGAGCAGAGTTCGTCACCCACTCCTCTCCACACCAGCCTTATCAGCCCCCTGAAACTGGAAGGGTGAACTGGAAGGGAAAGCCCCAAATTGGGTAGGACAACTAAGGACAGGAACAATATTCTGGATCCAACCCTATCTTGAAGGAATCAGGGCTTTGCTGAATATTTATGAGTAGATGGGAAGTTTGCACACAGCAGCTTGTGGGCACATTTGTTTTGACACCAGTCCACAATCTGTCCTTCTCATTCCCTCCCTAATATTCAACCAAAGTGATGCCAAAGTAAAATGTTTTCCCCTCAGTAGATCGCTGCATGCTAGTATTACAATGCTCACAATAATTTGCTCTCCACCCTCTGGTGTACTGTAGGATATGGATCAAATGCATCATGTTTCTTGGCAGCACATGGGAGAGCATTTAATGGAGACATGACCTGCATTTTTTGTAGTTTACTATCTTCAGAAGTTTAAACTGAAGCTTCCAAAACAACATTCTAGTCAGTAACTCATTCTCTAACAGTGCATATCTATTCGTGTCTACTCAGAAGTATGCTCCACTGTGTCCAATGGTACTTACTCCCGAGTAAACATTCTTGCATGCAACTGAAAACTGGTGAAGTCAGTTCTTGCCTATGAAAGCTTTTGATGTAGTAAACATGCAATCGTACACATTTCTATGTAGAAAGAAGCTACACTGAACTCAGTGGTCATTACTTCCAAGTAAGTGGGTAAAAGACTGAAGCCTAACTGTGTTTAACTTTTGGGAACATGAGACATTTGTTGGCTTGCAAGATGGTTTTCAGACTTTCAAGCTTATCATAAGAAATGGCATTAGCTGCCAGGAAGCATACGTTTATGCCACTGAAACTAAAACAGTGTCCTGAACCTGTGAAATGGTGCTGAGCAAGGTAAGCTCCCCATGAAATTGCACTCGCATTCTCTCAGAACAGAACTATACATTGGCACTAATGTAATGCACCTTGGGCCACTCTAGCTAACCATTGTTATGGCAAGCCATGGGGACGAGGTGGCCAGCTTGCTTTCCTCTAGATGGCTTGAACTCCAATTACCGTCAGTTCTAGCCAGGTCAGCCAATGGTGAGGGGCCATGGGACTTGAAGGCCAAAATATTTCAAGAGCCACAAGTTACTCACCCCCAGTTGTAAGGCAAAAACAATGAGCTGTATTCCTGTGCATCAGTGAAGCAGGACTATGTGTTATGACATGTGAAAAACAATTAACCATAATAAAGGCCCTGTAGCTGAAACAAACATTTCATGCTTACCAGAACAAATAGCTTCACTGTTACTCGCAAACCCAAATCTGAGTGCCAATAACTAGATGTAATTAAATAAAGAATGTGCCTTGAGAATGGGACACATTAAATCTTTGGTAGCTTGTACAGTGATGGAATGTTATACTGTTTTACTCATCTTGAAACTGAGGAGGGAACATTCTTAAAGATTACACTGTCTAGGTATCTCTGCAAATGGACTGATGAGACCCTCTGCTTTGAGTGAAGGGTTAGACTGAAGAATTTGCATAAACGGCGAAGTAACGAAAGGTCCAAATGACAAAGAGAAATTGAAAAGATCCCTGTGTCAAACGAGGGACTTGCCTATGCAACGAGAGACTTCTATAAATTATAAAATCCAGACTCTCCTTTGCATTAGTTTACCTGTTCAATACAGAGATCAGAGACTTCCAGGAACTTTCAGAGGTTTGACAACCCTTCATAGAATCAAAGATTGCTGATTCATCACTCTTGCTCTGCTTGACAAGTAATCATGCAGCAAAATTATTATTTTTTTTATAAGTGAAGCACACATTACAAGAGCAAAGACCCAGTTCATGCGCCCAGGTAGTATATGTAGGCTATTCCATGGGATCCATTTGCAATAAGCTGCCTGGAGGCTCCCTCACACAAACAGGTGAACACATACTGCTGCACAAACATGCCTTCTTCTTTTCCAGAGAAAGCATATATGTAGACAGCCACAGGTGTGAACTAAGGCCTACCAGGCCTCCTTATCCATAAGTTTTTATCCTGAGCTTTGTAGGAGCTATCCACAGTCCTGAATCCATCCCCAAAATAGGTTTACCATCATGGAACGCCATGGATAGCTCCTACAAAGGTCATAATAAAAGTTGCAATGCATAAACAGTTCCACTTATGTAGGAACCAACAGTACAGAGGAGAAGTAATTTAATACTAAACATTTTGGGTAGGAACCAGAAGTACTCATGCATACAAGCAGACCCACTGAAATCAACAGGACAAGTAAGTCATGACTAATGAAACTTCCATCAATTTCAGCAGATCTACCCTGAACATGTCAAAGTATGCATCCAAAATCTTGCCAAGTGTGGATGCCCTGAATTAATGTAAATTCTCTGAATACTAATAAGCTTAATACTGATCAGGGAAAACCATGAAGAACATCACAGACTGCCTTCTGAAACATTTAATAATGTTGGTAACCCTTTCAGATAAGCACAACAGATTTGCTTTCAGATATATTTGAATATCAACTAATTTGAGGAAGGCCTCTTCTAAAGTGCATACTGCATTTTAGCAAGTTTGAAGCTTAGCACGAACATCTGCGAGTTCCTCCACAAACTCCAATGTAGGTAGATGCCCGTTTGACATGCAGGGCCTCCTGTGAGTGGCTGAGGAAATTCAGCTGCTTTCCTCTGGCTTGAATATGTAAAGCCAAATTATGAGCTGCAACAAATCAATGCAGCTGGACTGACTGATGATCCAGTGAAACTTGGCATCTGTACTTCCTTTGGGCACCAACATGATGACTCCTTGAACTGGTGGAGCGCTGCCTTAACTGAATTTGGCAAATGGAAATCTCATTTCTAGCTATCTTCCAGCTGAGGCCAAGAGCAGCCTTTGCATGGCACTCACACAGTGCATTTTTTGCAGGTGCTTTGAAGAGGAAACTTCCCAGAATCGTCCCCCTTACAAAGTCATATCCCAGTCATTTATCAAGTCTAGGCACATTATACAGTTAAAGCTGATTCCATAATGTTCAAAATAAGGTCAGCCACAGCATAAACACAGATTTCTGCCAGGGTCCTTTTGCAAAGGATATTGGTACCTGTTAGGAGGGATTTTCAGTTAACCAAAGGCCATAGGGTTATTTTCAGTTAACCAACTATGTTATATCCCCAGCTGATGCCCAGCTAGTCCAGAAAAGAGCAGGCACGTGCAACATTAAAAGGCTTACTGTGCCATCAAAGTCATAAGTACAGTTTCATTATCCATTTGACGGTCCAGCTTTCCTACTTTGTGAATCTGCTCTCTCAGCAAAAGGACAAGGGTTAGAAACTATCTTAACCACATTCTAAAAGTACACCGACCTTTTGCTTCTTTCTCTCATTAACCACAGGTTTTTTAGCTTGTTTAAAGGACAAAGAAGTGCTGAGTAAAAAATCTTTCCTTCTTTTCTTCCCGCCACTAGTAGGAAAAGAAGAACCCCAATAGCATAGTGTACTTAGCAAATCTATCTTAGCAAAAGGTTACAGTGTACACTTGGGGGTCTCTTAGCATGTTGTCATCTTCTGCCATAGCTGTTTGCCCCACTGGCTAGCAACTCCACACCCTTTTGATCTACCTCCCCATTTACAGAGTAAACTATTGCTCCCTTTGTCCAGATCTGCTGCTTGACATCGGTGTCTCCACCAGCTGGCCGCACAGGAGTCTGTCTGACTTTCTTGGCCAGCCTTGCACAGCACAGCAGTGTTGAACTGAATATCATGGAAAACCCACAGAGAAGGAATGATGTGGTGTAGTTGCCAGTTGTATCCACAAGCCAACCTGTAGAAGAGGAAAGAAAACGCAGAAAGCATTTCATTAAGGCACAGATCACTGTTCAGAACTCTACCTGCATCTCCTGCTCCTCCCTCCTTGAGACGGCTATGCCAATTCTCTCCCTGCCAAAGCTAGTTCTCCTCTGGATGTTTCACCCTCCCATGTAATTTTCCTGCATTCAGGGAGTCGTGGTGGGGGACAATGTGCTACCTGAAGATCAGAAGAGGATGAAACTGACGGGGGGAGTGCAAATTTCTGGCAGGTATGGCAGTGGTTAATCAGTTGGTGCAGTGGTGTCTTAACCCACACACCCCTCTAGCCCCTGCCCCATACACATTTTCTAGCTTGTAAAAGTCCTAAAGCAGCTCACTTCCCAGCTTCCAGCATCAGCAGAATGAATTAGTGCTTTGAATATGGCGTCAGAAAGGCCCCTGGGAAGGTGCATCATGATGATGATGATGATGGTGATGATGCACTGTTCTCAGGACACTGTATGGGAGGAAAATGGCAATGATGCCGTGACTTTCTGGAGCGCCTCCCGGGCCACTTGCAGCCTGGTTTCTCAAATGGACCTGTGTTGTGTTGCCAGCAAGAACTTGGCTGAACCACCACAACGTATTTAAAGGCAACAAAAGCGGGAAGCAACCCAAGCCTTTCAACCATGTTGTAATGCAATTTGTAAATACTACTTCCCCACACAGATGTCCAGATAATTTCTCCCACTTCATAAAAAATTCTTTCCAACCCCAGGTTGGAAAGAAAGGTCTGGCAAAGGTTGGGGCAGCCATTTTGCCCAGCCTTTGCAGAGGCTGGTCTGGTGATATTTAGTGGATTGGTGAAAACCTTTCTATTCTGACTGGCTTGGAAGTGACAGCAGTGGTGGCTCAGCTGTGGAGCGCATGAGGAAAGCTCCCAGTTTTCACCTCTGGCTGGGTAAGATTCCTTCCTGGAAGTCTCCAGTCCTGCAGCCAGTCAGGGGAGACAATGCAGAGATGGATGTAAGAAAGACATACCACCACTGATTCTATATGCGGCTTTTAACAGTGCATTTACATGATTTATTTATTTAGAGCATTTTAACAGTATGTTTTCATGATTTATTTATTTAAAGTATTTTTTAGTCCTACTCCTCCGCCAAAACAAGGTTCCAGAGCAACCTAAAGATAATCAGGAAGAGAAAACAGTTCCTGCTCACAGGCTTACAATTTAAAAAGGTACAACACACAAGGAGAAAGAGGGTGCAGAGAGGCCCTTTCAACAGGGTGGGAGAATGGCTCAGCCTCCCCTTCAGTATGGCTTGCTGGAATGGCCAAAGGTGCCGCTTCAGAATTTTGTCACTGTAGTATGTAACACCTGCCAGGGGTGGGTGTGTGCATGAATGTGCATGCCTGCCCACACGGAATTCCACATGCCCATATGGGAGTCCTGCTCTCTCCACTTCCCACCAGTAAAACTGTTGCTTTGCTTTGCTGTTTTGATAAAAAAATTCTAACCCATTTGGCCACCAAAATAACCTTGACAGTGGATGGACAAGTGCCTAGTAAAATCACAAAACAAAGAGTTGCTGAATCAGATGTCCTATAATGAAAAGCAGGGCTTCCATTTTCTGCAGTTCTCTGTTCTCGTCCTCGTAACTGGTAGAAGTGGAATCTGTCATCAGCATTTCTATCTCCAGTAACCCTGGGAGTTAAGACAGGCTTCATGTGAGCTTCATGGGTAGCTGTGGGTTTGAACTGCCTCTCTCCCTTCAGCCAAAGCTTGACCCTCCACCAAGGGGGTGAGGGGACCTGTGCACCTTTACATGTTGCTGAACCATGACTCCTGAACCCTGGCCATGCAAGCTGGAGCTGGTGGAAGCTGGAACCCAGGGGATTCTCAAGGACCACACCACGGATTCTGCAGCCCTGACCTAATCGCTACACCACAGTGTCTCGCTTTTTACAAAGCAGGTGACCGAATCTGCATCACTTACACAGGTCAAATAATAATGGTTGGCTTGGCAGAGAATTTAAACTGATTTGTCACAACATTTTGAATGCTTCTACGCTCCCCCCTCCCCCTCACCTCACATCATAAGAGCACAAATAGCAGGCCTGGACACAGTATTAAAGAAAATACCATATGGGGTTGATTAATGTAGATGATACACTTCAGTGTTCTCTAACATGGGACAAAACACATGGAGTGTTCTTTAAAAGGGAGGAAAAAACTTCATAGTATCTCAGGTTCATTACACACCTTGCAACCTGCACAGTAATCATGCAATATAGTTTGCTTTAAAACTGTTGCTCTCCAGACTTCTCTATCTGCCTTTTTCTGGCTTCTGGGTGGAGATGAAAGGGATATGCTGCCCTCTAGTGTTTGGTGTAAGGGAAGCAAGGGTTTGTTTGTTTACACACAGCTAGGGATCCACACATCATTCTATTTCTATGATGCGTCCTAATGCATGAGTTGTACCACTGTCAATCAAAGGGCACCGTGTACATATTCCAGCTTTTCCTTCCTTTTGCAGGTGTTCCATCATATGCCACTCCCGCCTATTGCCACATTAATGTGGAAAATGAGTGTACAAACAACAACAATGTACCATGCACATGGAGTGTGGGAATTTGGTGTACAGACAGCCATTGAAACGTGACATTATTGATGTTTTCAAACTGTTATTGTGTTATAAGTTGCATTATTCCTGTTATAGCTTTGTTGAGTTGCCAAGTCCCATGTATTTTGTTTTTACTGTTTTTATTGGTTATTAAGGTTATTTTGTTTTAGCTTGTATGCCACCCAGAGAGCCCTATGGGCTATGGATGGCTTATAAATGTAATAAATAAATAATAACAATAATGGTGTTGTCTGAACCCAACTGTGATATCAAGTCATGGCTTATTAAACCCAAACAATCCATGAAGAGAACCCAAACAAAGCCAGCCCCGGGGTGAGGGCTGTGTTAAAAGGATGGTGAAAGTGGTATGAAAATACAGGAGGAACATAATATCATCTGGACCTCCATGAATTAGATAGGGCATGGAAGCCATAGAGGCCTTGTCTGGTAGCACCCATATTCAATGTGTATAATATTAATCAAATTATTCTTCAAGGAGAATTAAGGATTTACAATTTAAAAGATATACATGCTTAAATCCTGTTTAAATCAAAAAGGCATTAACATATATAGTTGAATAAATGCTTGATTAATTTTTATACACCCTATATATCAGAGGAGACAGACCTCTTTGAGGCCAGCCTTGGGGGCTTATTCCAGTACTGGACAGCACTGAAGGCAAAGCAGCTGAGCAAAGTACCAGCATCGTGTAGTTTAGGGCATGATCCTATGCATGTTTAAACTGAAAGGGGTTCAACATTTTTTTCTGTTTAAACATGCATAGTACTGCATCCACAAAGCTTTTACCATCTGTAACTAAGCCTTCGGAAAGGCATTTCAACCTTCAGGTGGTAGTGGTGCGGGAGGGGCGGGGGAGGCATACAAATGTCAGGAAACCACTAAATGGTGCTCAGGAGGAAAGGGAGAATCCCAGAAGGGTGGACTGGGGACCCAGATTTGTGCTGCAGTTTTGCGAAGTGCCCTGCTGCAAATCCTCCAGACAGGCCAGGAAGGACTGGAGAGAAATGAAAGAAGCAGATGAAGCCATGCACTGGTTTTGCGTGTGTGTATCCTTGTATCTCACTGTCACGTGCAGACTGACCTGCCACAGGTGGGCTGATGAGGTACGGTATTGCGTGAAGGAAGTACACCACTCCGAGGGCGGACGATAAGGAAGCCGTGCCCACCACATCTGCTGTTACCACAGGGATCAGGGTCACATAGGCTCCGTCAAAATACCCAAAGGTGAAAGAGAAAGGCACCAGGAGCGGAAAGCTTTGGAGAATCGGAAGGAAAAGACAACAGAGGCCATCCATCCCCACCGCAAAGAGGTAGCAAATGTAACGGTACTTCTTCAAGCACCTGGGGAAAGTGAGAGAATGAACAAGTGAGCAGTGGCAAATTCCTCCCTGTCTGAGATCATTTGTTACTGGTGAGCACTGATGGAGAACACAAAGGCTCCTGCGGGCATCGTTGGTCTTAGAACCCCTTTTCCTCCCGAAGCTCCTTGCAAAAGGGGGCAAGTAAAATGGTCGAAGGATGAGAGTAACTCCCCTGCAACCAAAGGTTGTCACAACTGAGGTTAACTTAGAAAACAGGTAAGTGGAAACATGATAGAGGCCTACAGAATTCGGCATGGTGCAAAGAAAGCGCACTGGGAGACATTTTATTCCCTCTCCTGTAATACTAGAACCTGGGGTCATCCAATGAAGCTGACTGGTGAGGAACTCAGGACAGGTGAAAGGGTGCACTTCGTCACACATACTTACACTGCCACGCAACGCAGTGGTGGCCACCAGTTTGAATGGCTTTTAGAGGCATTAGACAAATGGATGCAGCAGCAGCAGGATATGGATGGCTACTAGCCCTGATGGCTAGACGCTACCACCAGTACCAGTATGCTTACATGCACAGTTACTGGTGGACGTGGGCAGAAGAGGGTTGCAGCACTCAAGGACTCCTTTCCCATGAGCAGCTGGTTAGCTATTATGTGTGGACCCTTGGTCTTCTCCTACTCTTACATGTGAAAGGCTGCAATTCTCTGAATTGCTTACAAGTTGCCCTGAGAATCATTTGATTGGAAACAAATATATGATGCAAAAAGGAAAAGGAGTTATAGCAACATAGATCCTTCATGCAAGACTTCTTCAAATGCCATTGGATACGTAAGAAAGGGCTGCAAAGTTTGGTGGCTGGTAGCCCTGCTCCATCAGCACTCTGCTTACCTTCTGTCTGTGAGCCACCCGAAGGTGATGTTGCCAACAATGTCAACGACCCCAAGGATAGACATGAGGAAGGCTGCTTGCTGGTGACTGACTCCAACCCTTAAGGCATAAGGCACCAAGTAGACAAAGAGGGGGCTGCAGCCATAAGCCATGAACAGGACCGAGCCCGCAAGTACCATGAAGTCTGGCATCAGTAAAAAGTTATACTCGTGCCACGAACACTGGCACAGGCACTTGTGAGACCACACTTTGACCAGAGGAGAGCAGGCTGACCACTGCTTGAAGTCTGACTTGTGTGCTTCAGGCTCAAACTCCTGCTCGGGGAACTCCAGCCCATTCTCACGATCCTCTTTGCCCACGATAGGTCTCATCAAGGCACCACAGACGCAGAGGTTTAACACAAACCCCCCCAGGATGAGCAAGGCCCCACGCCAGGAGAACTGCTCAATCAGAAGCTGGACTACGGGAGCCAGGATGAAGGTGCCGATGCCGCTGCCAGACATGGCGATCCCGTAAGCCAGCGCCTTCCGCTTGTTGAAATAGTTGCCCACCATTGCAATGGCCGGTGAATATGAAAGTGCAAATCCCAGTCCTGGAAACAGAGAAATCACACACACAGTGCAAGTTAAAGGCAAGCAAATAGTGAGTGTTTGTGAACACAATATGAACCCTATTTTATGGAGGGAATGGCCAATATTTCAGGGAACAAAGGATGGATTCTGCTGTTCTATGTGAGCAACAGAAAAGATCCCCAAATTGCGCATTAACCTGAATATGTGGCCTCCTTGACACCTGTGGCAGTACAAGAAGGCAGAACGGGCTTCATCAGCCCAGGTGTGAGTCTCATTTGTCAATGTTCTTTTACTTTACAAGGTCCAGTCTAGCAGAAATTCAGTACAACAAAGACGCTCAGGGGGGAGCAGATGTTGGGAGATTTACTTGGCAAGGGCAAAGCAACCAGTTCTCCTGGCACTGGCTGTATCCTTTGCTTGGTGTGCCACAGGGCAATCCCATGAAGGTGCCAGAGCTGTGCAAAGCCGCAGCCACGTCAGCCGGCATCATCAGCCAACGGAGGGCCTGCATGGGAAGCAACTGAGCTGCGACTCCAACAATGTTCTGCACACCTGAATAAACAGCCCGAGCCCATTTTGCATGTGGTCATTTGTAAGTGCGCTCTGGCATTGATCTATTTATTTTTAGTGTATGTGAAAGCCCATTTTTACATAGGTATCTTTCACTTTTTTTCTTACAAAAGAGGCATTTATAAACATGTACGTATCTCAAAAGAATGTGTTTTCAGCTTTGAGGAAGATAATGGAAAATTAGGGAGATGCAGGAGGGGGTGCAGTGAAGTATCCTGGAAAAAACAAGGCTGGCAACCTCAACAGGACTCCTTCCCACCACAATACTTTCTTGCACCTTACCCTGTTGTGCAGAATAGCACAGCAGAATTCCAGACTCTACCATCGCAAACAGCAGTGGAGGCCATGTTGTTTAAACGTATGGACATAAAGTTATGTCCACAGAAAAAATGCCATCCATACCTGCTAGCTTAGAATAGGTAATAAGTGGTGTTTTGTCGTTTACATGGGTGGGCCTTCAAAACATTCCACCCTTTCTGTAGCATAAAAATATAGTCTGAAAAGTCAGCCTACCACTGAATTATCCATAATATGTAGACTGGCCTCACTGTTCCCAGAATCTGGTATGTTCAGAGCTATACTGCCCCAAAACATGGCAGATCTATTTAGTTATCCTACACCCACTGAAAGGTGTAGTCTCTGTGAATTTGTCTCATCTTCTTTTTTTAAAAGTATCTAGGACAGTGGCCTTCACCTTACATTACAGAGGTGATTTTGGTAGGTAATTTTCATAATAATTTTTATTAATGAGGTCTTCGTGGAAAAATTGTTAAAGAACTTCTTAATTATGGGTAATTTTTGATGAAGTTTTGCACTGAATTCCTAACACAACGAATGCTGCAAAAATAGATTTCTTTCCCCAAAGCAAACAAGCGAGTAGTGGTAGCATCCAAGTACATGATTTCTACAGAATTGTTATTAAACTCCAGGGGTCTGAGAACTAAGCTCACATCACCCATGGCTACAATGCTAGTTTTAATAAGTCAGCAGTTTCAACATAAATATTTCCATCCCTCATTTTTTTAAATAAAATGAACTGGAGAAGAACAATTAGATGTTTTTGTTTTGTTTTCACCAGAGGTAGAATTCCATCTGCAGGCTTGATAATCTGAGTAAGAATTAATGGGAGCATTTGATTTGAGCTTTCAAAAACTGGAAAGAGCAGTGCTGGCTAAAAGTCAAGTCTTAATATCAACAGTTGAGCATTCACAGGCAACACCCCCCCACATACACACACACAGACTCCTCCTTCAAATCCAAATTTTGAACTCCAAAATTAATATTTTGTCATGATTTTCATCATTATGATGTTTGAGAATTTGAGTCAGAACTATTGTTTTCCAAAATTATCCCAAGCACTGTTCCAATTGTTTCCTTCATGTTTTTTGTTTGGATGATTTTGTTGACTGTGGCCCATGGTCTGATTTACTCCATCTTTCTTCACATATCATTTTACAGAATAACTTTATGCAAGTTCCCTTCCTTAGTTGCCAGTGTATATGGGTAGGATAGTAACTTCAGTTATATGCGTAATTGGGAAGTCCACAAATTATGCATTTTATGCATATTTAAATAGAAAAGAATTGCTATAGTTCCCAGATCTCCCAGTTAGGTTGACTTCCCAGAACATATGCACAGAGATGGGCCTCAGAAAATGTTCCTAACACATGAAGAATCTGTTCAGTTTTTAACAGAATGAGAACATCAGCACCCCGTGGTACCAGCAGTAATACCTGTAAGAACTCCTAGGGAAAGGTAAAGATGCTCCAGGCTTGTGGCAAAAGAACTCAAGATGAGTCCAGTCGATGCAAGCAGTCCTCCCAGCATAATGCCCACTTGACAGGAGACGTGATTACTGATAAAACTCCCAAGTGGTGCTTAAAAGGAAAAGGAATTGCAGTTATTCTATCCAACCTCCACATGGAAAAGCTGACACACAGAAATCAGGATGCACAGATCCCTGGGATGTTTCAGAATCACAGATGGAATGCTGCCATTCCATATACCTTTCATTTTCCTTCATAAATCAAGTTCAAGTTACAGATGCAAATATTCATTTCTCTGTGGATTTAGACCTTGGCCTAAAGCAAGGCAGTGTTAGCTCCCTTTCTTTGCACACATGATTCACTTCCCAGGTCTCTTCCAAGAACAAAAGAAACCTTGTCACCTTCAATGCTTCCAGGCCAGGGATGGAGAGCTTCTTTCAGTCTGAGGGCAAAGTTACTTTTTAGAGAAGATCTTGGAGGCTGTATCCCAGTGGTAGGTGGGGAGAAGGAAAAGGGGATGGGATCAAATATACAAACAAAACCCTCCTTGCCCCGCAAAAACTCACCTTCAAGTTCTTTCTGCCAATAACTAAGCCTTAGAAGAAGTATTTCAACATTTTAGAATGGTGACAGAGTTCACAAAAGGTGGAAAACCATCTAATCAAACAATTGGTGGTGGAAGGAAAGGGGATGAGGTCAAAGGAAGAAGATATGAATGTCTGGGAGATCCCAGAGGGCCAGGTTGGTGCCCCTGGTTATAACCACTCTACTTGAAGTTGAGTACCTCTTGCATACAAGCAACCATGAAGTGCATGGCTTTGTTTACCACATCCAAATGTTTTCAAGATGGCCCCTCTGCCTTTACTTCAGGAAATGTTGGTTGGTTGGGAATTTCTTTGGGTACTGCTGCAAAAGACCTCTTGGCTTTGCCTGGGGAGGCACCTAAGCATCCTGGCCAATACAATTTTCCACTGCAAGACCACAATCATCACAGGAGAAGGAAGAGAGGGCCCTGAGCTGTTGATACTCTCTTGCCTGTATAATCTTCATTATGCTTCAGAAACCAACGGCTGAATCACGCCCTCCCTGTTTGTTACTTATGTTCATTTTTCCGTGTAAGCAGTGCAGACAAAATCGAAGAAATTGTGCCTTATCTGCTTCTAACAAGCAATTGCCTTCAGCCTTGATTCCCTGAACTCTAAAATGCATTTCATGCACACTGAATCATAATGGGGGAGACATTATGGTGCAAAAACTGTAGGGCAGGATGCCAAATCCAGCCCTGCGTGGCTTCCCAGAAGCCCTTCCCATTTCCCCTGGCTTTGCCCTGTACCCCAAACACTGATTTCCCAACTTGCACTCATGAGATTCTCTTTTCTTGGAGGACAAATTGTGACTCTTAAGGATCACTTGTCGGTAAAAGCTTTATGCTGAACTACACTGGCATTTTGTCCCAGACCCTTTTGCTATTAGCCCCACTCATCAATGGAATACATCCCCAAGAAATTCAGCCCTTGGAGTGAATACATCTGACACCCCTTCTATAGACTGTACCATAAATCAAATAAAACTTTTTGGATTTGACAATTTGATTGGAATGCTTTCTCTCTTGAAACAATAAAAAATCAAATGCTAAGGATTACAGCCACAAAAGCCAGCCATGATTTCCAGCTGATCTGAAATAGTAATAGTAATAATAGTACCCACCACAAAGCATTGTAGCACAGTCAACAATAGAATGGATCCAAGCTGTCTGGGCATAATCTTGAGCGAAGTAGGTCTGGAACTCCACAAAGAAAATTGAAATACACCTGCAAAAAGAAAGAAGCAAATGTACCTGATCAAACATGATCAAAGAAAGAAGCAATTGTACCTGATTAGAACAAAAGATACAGCCATTAAAGATGAAATGGAAAATAACTTAGGACCATTGGAATCACAGAACCATAGAATAGAAGAGTCAGAAAGGGCCAAGGGCCAACCGCCTGCTGTTGAGGAATTCTGAGGACACCAATTTACACCATCCACTCAGATGACTGTCCAGTTTCATCCAGTTTCATCTTGGACTCTGAAATTAAGGCAGAAGGTTTCCTCAGAATTGTTTTATTCCTTCCTCTTTCAGCCCTAAATTTAAATTCCGTTTAGGAGCAGCTCTCTGGAACCACTTTCCAGTGGTGGGCAGGCACAAAGGCAAAAGAGGAGGCCAAAGTACCAACATATTTTTTTAACCTTAAAGACATAAACCTATACCTATTTAACAGAAATGGCCTATCATTCCCAGCACAGTTGGTTGAGGCATGCTGGGAGCTGTAGTCCATTTTTCTGTCCAAATATAAAGAAGTGTGCACTCTGAAGCTCTTAGTGACAGTGACTCTGCCACAGGGAAGGCATGCCAACCTTTCAGAACAGGGAAAATCAATGTGTGGGAGCTGAGAAACCCCAGCAAATGACTGGTGGTGAGAGGAAGGGGGTGTGGCCAGCCAGGGAGCCTAGAGGTTGCCAAACTGGAACAGCAAGGGGGCCACTTGGCCTCTGACCCTGAGGTCCGGTTGCTCGGTTATGTTCTTACAGGAAAATTAAAAAATGTACTTCCTTATGCCATACAAGTCACTGATCTGCCTAGCAACAAAATACTATGCATTGGTCTGTGCTGTTCTGTGCAGCACATATGGAAAAGGAGTTCCACCTTGTAGGCTCCTCTTGCTGTTGCAAGCGATTAAACCAACTTTCTCCTAGGAGAATTACAAGGGTTACAGAAAATTGCCCTTCCAGGCGTCCCATGTGTGCATGATTCATGATTAATTGAAGTGTTTGTACTATGTTCATCATGACACAGCATTAACCAAAACCTGTTCCTCTCGGAAGAACAACTCAGGGTTTCTTTCTGTGTCAGCGAATTTGCTGGAGCACTGAAGACCAATTTACTGAGCTGTTCCAGCCATGCTGTTCCGCATTTAATACAGCCATGCGATATCCGTCCACCCTGCATAGCCTCAGCCCTGCTCCTTTCACAGTCAGCAGACATTGCCTGCAGCGTCAAATATTTGTCCGGAGCTCGCTCTCCTCCTCAGCTTTGCAGAAACAACATTCCATTTGTACCTGTATGTCTTATACTGTTATAATAAAGAAGACAACATAATTAGTCTAATATAATTCAGCCAGCATTTGTGAAGTGTTAAGTGAGATGCCTCTTCTAATGTGTAGCCATCTGCTTCCTTGCAATTTCTACCTGTTGGACATGCCATGCATGAAAAACAAAATCCATACTGGTTATATTGGGGTTACATGCCCCCTGCAGATTCAGCTTGCCCTGTGGTACACTGCTAGATTCAGCCCTGAATCTGGATGCCCAGGTTTGGACATGGCCAGGAATGCATTTGCAGAGCTGATGCTGCTGTGTCAACTGCATCTGTGCCTAGAGAGGTCTGATCTGGCCACAGTCATGTATATCTTCGTTTAATCCCATTTAGACTACTGCAATATGCTTTGTGTGGAGCTGCCTCTGAAAATGGCTTGGGAGCACCAGCTGGCCCAGAATGCTGCAGCCGGACTGTTGATCAGGGCTCCTTACAGGGACCAAACCACTCTTTGGATGCAACTGCCACCAGTCTCTTTCTATGCACAATATAAAGAGCTGACTATGACTTAAAGGCTCGCCACTTGTGGGAGAAGGTTGCCTTTTGAACACCCTGGGCCTGTCTGTATTTTCACATCTTTGCGGGAAGGTTCTTCACTTGGTATTATCGCCACTGCAGGCATATTTAGTAGGGATGCAAGAGGGAGCCTGCTTGGTGGCTGCTTCAGGTACTAAAGCCCTCACTGGGGGAGAGGTTTGGCAAGGTCTCCCACCCTTGTCCTCCTCTTGTCCTCCTCCCAGCAGGCTAATATGCTTTCATTTAAGAAGACCTTCGACATGTTATGTAGGTCATCACATGTAATGGCATGGCCTATTGGGTTGGGTGAAGTTTTTCTTCTTGTATTATTTTGAATTGTGTTTTTAATGTACTTGCTTCATGATTGCTTTAACTAAGTTTTTATTATAAATTTTTATGCTCCTTGTTAGTGGCCTTGAGGACAATTTCCTTGGTAGAAAAGCGGGGTATTAATAAAATCAATCAGTACATTGTTCGATAAACTAAGCGTATAAAGGGGTCCAAATAGCCCTTGACAAAGACTTCAAAAGGGAAGAAGGCAGCAGTTCCTGCAGACAGCTCGGGGACCAATGAAAGCTTAGCCAATGTACATTTGTATTTTGCACCGTGCACTCTTCCTACTCTCTGGTTACACAGAACATTAACTGAGAAGGGGATCCAAATATACAGTATCATTGTCGTTGTCTCATATTCCATTTACCATATTAAAAATCATTTAACAGTTTCAACATGTAGCATTTAAAGACTATTATTTATCCAGAGGAGCTGTCCTGAAGTAGCCATTGAAGATATGAGAGAATCATTTTGCCTATTTTGTCGATGTATGTTATAGTAACACTAAATGCTAGTCTATTTTTGTCATCTTTCTGTGTTGAAGGATGGCAGGTTCAAATATTTTCTGAATATTTAAGATGCCTGAAGGATATATAGAGAAAGAGGAGGCGCCTCCTTGGGTCACTCACCCCTTTCATTAAGGATATATAGTTCCTAAAAGAGTTGCCATGAGTAAAAGACATTGTGCAGCAAATTTGCCAGACATGAATCAGGTAAATCAGGTATCTCAGAAGCTGACAAAATGTAGGGCAGAAGCCAGACACCTGGCTGAACCTCTGGCCCATCCAGGCCAACTGAACCCAGAAGGCCGGCTGGGTGTGCCAGGGCACATTGGGGTCTTCTCTAGAGTGGCCACCACAAATCACCAAAAAAGAGGAAATACATTTGCGTATTCTAATTTATATGTATAGACACACATTAGAAATAATGACAAGAAGTTACATACAGCCCTAGCAAATCTCAGACACATGGCATGAAGCTATCAGGAAAAGTCTATACAAAGTTCTTTTTGTACATTTGATGCGTAAAGCCTGGGAATCTAGTAAATCTGTGTACATTTGGCATTTTGAACGGATGTAAATAACGGATGGGGTACTTTCTATTTTTGTAATGTTGCAATTTTTGGGCCTTTTTGTACCTTTGTAGTATGTTTTTATTTAAATAAAAAATTTCAACCTAAAAAAAAAAAAAAAAATTTCAACCTAGCAAATCTCACCCTAGTGCAGAAGCTGAAACCAGGAGGCCAGTGTGCCTGCCTGTGCATGAATATATATTCCATTTGAGGTGCTATCTATTATTCTATTATTCTATTGTTTTATCTTTTATCTGGTTAATAACTTATTGTAATTCATGTATGTTTTTATGTTTTAGTACTGTAAGCCGCCCAGAGAACTATCGGTTTATGGAGCAGCATAGAAATGGAATTAAATAAACTAGTGATCAGTCACAGTTCTTATACTTTATCTTTAAGGGTCAATCTTATATACATTTAGACAGAAAAAAACAGCCCCCTGCTTTCCTCAGCCAGCACAGTGTATACAGGAGCACACCTTAAACTAGATCTTAGATAAAGTAGTCCCTCAAACAGAAGTTGACTTTAAGCAGGGGAGAGTCTTCTACCAACCTTCTATATAAAGGACTGTTCTCTCTAAAAGAAAAAAAAAGAACATGTGGACATTCCAGGCTACTGTTTATTCTTAGTCAGCAAAAATATCTAATACCTGAGGATTGTGATCTTTTAATTACTTTTAAATGTACATGCTACCTTCTATGCAAGAAGACCTCTTAAGGCAATTCACGTGAAAATTACAATAAAGCAACATTTACTGAACCCTAAAAGCAGCCACCTTTCTTTCTTTCTTTCTTTCTTTCTTTCTTTCTTTCTTTCTTTCTTTCTTTTCTATCTATCTATCTATCTATCTATCTATCTATCTATCTATCTATCTATCTATGTTATAACATATTATATTATAATATGAGTACATAAATAATATAATAAAAGAGATCTGAAAACCCAAAAACAATCAGAATACAAATCAGCAAAAAAATCTGCAAAATATCACACAGGATACCATGTTATGCATGTTTAGACAGAAAAGCAGTCTGTTGACCAGCTTGCCACGTTGTCTGGGCAATGCTTGGAGTAGGAAGGCTTCTTTGCATCCAAACATGCACAGGAACAGAAACAAACATGCACAGGAACACTCAAAGGTTCTGTGGAACAGAGACTTACCTGTCCAGACTGGAGAACTGGCAAAGAGTTCAAAAAGGATGACGGCATTACCTTGGTCCTCTTGGAATTTTCATTCTTCTTAACTATTTTCTTGAGCTGTATCCTCTTATCCATACCTCCTTGTGACTATGCAGAAGAGGTCTGCTTTGTGTCCCATTATATTGTACATTGGTGGGAATTCAGAGTGCCCCAGAGTGTGAACACACTTCCCAAGAAGGGACATCAATGGCTTTTTCACAACAGGTCAAAACATGGTTGCTTTCAAAGAATTATTTTTTCTTTGTTGCTTTGTTTGTTTTTAACCATGACATTTTAAATTATCTTGGTTGGGCAATCCTGCTGTTAAGGTTTTCAGAGTAGTAAATTGTTAGGATTTATACCTCTTTTAAATTGTTGCTGCTACTGTTGGTGTGTAGTTTTGGTTTTGTGTGTGTGCGCGTGCACACACATGTGTACAGGGTCATGTGTGATTTTAAAATATCCTACGCAGAATATGGTTAAAACGTCTAAATACATAAACTAACATCCTTTATATCTTGAACATTAGATAGCATTAACCACCACTTTTAAGCAAGGGACAACAGCAATAAAGCTGGATGAAGAACTGCACACAAAACAGGCTTACCTTGTTACAGCTCTAGTGCAAATAGTAACAAGGAAGCAGCCAATCACAATCATCCACCCCCAGCCGCCGTCAGGTGGGGAGTTCCTTGGTGCAGCCATGGCCGTGATGGAGAGTCTGTGCTTATGTCCAGAGTCACTCTGCAAGACCAATGCCAGTTGACAGGCAAGGCATGCATGGAATGTTACCTGGCACAAGGATGATCTGGCATCTGAAACAAGAAAACAAAAAGAACTGTAGGGGAAGGATCAAAGCAAAACACTCAAATAGTTCAATGGAGCCACTGCTTTATTGTTTAAAGTTACATTTTATTTTTAACCCCAATGATTTCAGGATGCAAATTCTATGCATTGCTAGGAGCAGCTGACCGTGGGCCATATTTGACCATTTAATCCAGAGTCACTCCACAGATGTCATTTTGCATTCACATCACCAGGAACAGACAGACTCTTTAACATGAGCAGAATTTCTACCATTAAATAACTTGTTTTAGCCCTATAATACATAACACAATAATCCAACATGCATTGATCAATGGACCAAACCCTGAACATGCTATTGCATCATATTCAGGAAACTCATTCAGTACTTTAAAGCTGGAGTAGTATGGTTGTTAAGAGACTAAGCTTCCCATCAAGAAGCCCCTGGTTTGGATTTCTCTCTGCCACAAACTCACTGGATGGTTTTGCATGACACAACCATCCTCACTGTGGCACAAGCCATGGGCCGTCTACCAGAAGGCCTACAATGTGTCCATCAAGCAACTGGCACATCATAGGTCTGCCCCACATGGGTCTTCCTGCGGCTATCCCAGGGGACACCATTTGAAGAAGAATGAGCCTCCTTCCCCCACCTGCCACCACTGTCAAGATTGGGGATCACTTTGGCTGGTTGTCAGGAAGGCCAAAGCACTCTTCAACCCAAGCGGGTTTCTTGCCACTCCTGCCAGCCAGCTCACTTACAGTAAGGCTTGAACCACTAGTAGGTACCAGAGTTTATGTTTCACATTCCCCTAAAAATGTTTATAGTGGTAATCAGGAATTGATGTTGCTGGTGAATACTGTTTTTCAAACTGCTGAAGTAAAATCATCATAGAATACTAGAGTTGGAAGGGGCCAAGAAGGCCATCAGGTCCAACCCCTGCTGTTACAGGACAACCTGTTACACCATCCCACTCAGATGGCTGTGCAGTTTCTTTTTGAATGTCTCTAGTGTGGGAGAGCCCACCACCTCTCTAGGCAGCTGGTTCCACTGCCATATTGCTCTGACAGTGAGGAAGCTTATCCTGATGTCGTCTGAATCTGGATTGTTCCAACTTGAATTGATTATTCCATGCCCTACAATCTGGCATCAGCAAGAACAGATCTTGACCTTCTTTGTGACCACCTTGGAGGTACTTATAGAGGCATATCATGTCTCCCTCAGTCTTCTCTTCTCAAGGCTCAACATGCCCAGTTCCCTCAGTCTCTCCTCACAGAGCAGTGCTTCCAAACACTGAATCATTTCTGTTGCCCTCCACTGGACCTTTTCTAATTTACCTGCATCTTTCTTAAATCTTGGTGTCCAGAACTGGACATAGTATTCCAGGTGAGGATGCATGTTAAGCACCTTGAATGCTTGAAAGCAATATGCAAAGGTTTATTATTTATTTATTTATTTATTTATTTATAACATTTTTATGCCACACCCATCGCAGAAAGCCTCGGGGTGGCTTACAAGGCAGATAAACAGATTATTGTTGTTGTTGTGATTCCAGTTTTGAACCTGCAATATATGTGAACCCTATCCTATGCATACTTACTCACAAAAAGTCTTAAGAGGCATAATGCACTCCCACATAAGTGCATTTGCTTGTTGCTGTTATGTGCCATCAATTTGTCTCTGACTTATGGTGATCCTATTAATAAAAGCTCTCCAAAATGTCCAACCCATGACAGACCTGCTCTTGCACATTCGAGGCTGTGGCCTCCTTTATGGAGTCAATTCATCTCATATTTGGTCTTCCTTTTCTTCTGCTTTAGACTTTCCTAGCATGATGGGCTTCCCCAAGTGAGTCTTGCTGTCTCAAGTTGTATGCAAATTATGACAGCCTCAATTTTATCATTTTCATTTTTATGGAAAGGTCTGATCTGGGAAAAGTTTCATCCAGGACCTACTTCTTCTTTCTGAAATCTATTTATTTGCTAATCCTCACTACCAAATTACAGGGCAGTGTACAAAATAAGTACGCAGGCTTCCTTGCAACCTGATCTTATTCCTATTTACTCAAATACTCCAATTATATAACGTATTGCTAAGTAAGCATGTAGAGGACTGTACCTTGATAACTATAATTGAACATTTTTATTTGCAATCAATGATTTGCAGAAATATTCACAGACATACCCTTTGACTTTTCCACATTTTGTTGTGATATAATGAAATTGAAATGCATTTAATTGGCATTACTACTACTTTATGGACATAAGATACCCAACCCTGCAAAGTTGTGAAATATTTTCATTGGGCCATAAAAGTTAAGTAAACAAAAACTATCTGGTACTTGATTGCATAACTATTAATTCCCTTTCCTGTGACATGCCTAAACAAGCTATGGCTCAACCAATTGTCTCCAGAATTCACAGACTGTAAGATCTTAGTTTCCTGGATTCCACCTTTATGCAGGTCCACATTATCTCAGGTGAAATACACCTGCTCCTGAAAGGCCCCAGAGTTTGCTAGAGAACCTATTTAAATATACAGTGTCTAAACAAACAGACCAAGGAGTTATCAAACCTACTCCAGGATAAAGTTGTGCAGGAGCACCAATCAGGGTTGGGTTTAAAAGAAATAGTACAATATGGACACCTACTGGAGCACCATTACTGTATTTCCATTACTCCACAACAGAAAAAAATATGGCTCAACCACAATTCTGCCAAACCACCAGAACTCAGTGGCTGGGTAAGGAGAGCATTAGTCAGAGAAGCAACCAAAAGGTCAGTGATAACTCTGAAAGAGCTGAAGGTATCAGCAGCTGATATGGGAGAAACTGTCCATGGGCAACTGTCACATGAATGAAGAAAGTCATTGCTGAAACAAACCCAGAACAAAGCTGGTTTGGAGTTTCCCAAAAGGCATGTGAGAGGCACGACAAACACGTGTTCTGATGAGACCTAAATGGAACTTGTTGGCCTTGCTGCAAATGCTGTGCGGTGCAAAGCCAAGAATGCTCATTGCCCTGACAGCATCATCCTCACAGTGAAGTAGGGTAGCAGCACCATGTCGGGGAGATGCTTTTCCCCAGCGGGGACTGGGCACTGGTCAGGACTGAGAGTGGCCGGGCTGGCCAGCTAGGGTCCAATACAGGGCAGTTCTAGTATATCCCTGTAAAGTCGCGGTCCAGTGTTTGTGGCTTCAGTCTTTCACAGGATTTTTCTCCGAGCGAGTCCAAGCCTATCTCCTTGTGAGTCTTCTCCTGTGTCAGTCTGCAAGAGGCAGGAGAAGAGGCTGGCCTTCCAGCAGGATACTCACCCTTGTCAATTTTTTCTCAATCATGAGCCTACTGTCTGTGTCCTGAGAAGTATGTTATACCAGCACTCTGAAAGAATCATAAGGTGTCTGGATGGCAGGTTAAGGGTTCTAAAAAGAGGGTTATGAACTTGCTAGAATTAAATAAAGATCACAGGGTTTGTAGAAATGTGCTGTTTGAGACTATTGTTTTAAAAACGTTTCTGCAGTGCAAATAACTTTTTCCAGGAATCAGAAAAGCAAATATAGATACTTAACCTATCTACCAATCTTGTTGACCTCAAGATTGAATGGTTTTAATATGTTCTACGGTGAATTGTCCATAATGAGTTTTGAAATTGTAATGCTGCTGTATCATTTGCAAGGATGACAGTATGCAGGTGCTTTAATATATTTAACTTCTGGGGCCTTCCCCCCAAGTGACAACTCCAAAGGAAGTACAGAGGGGTAGGGCTTTCTCTGTGGTGGCCCCCATCTAGGGAACAACTTTCTCACTGTGATCTGACTGGCACTGAATTTGTCATTTTTTCTGCACCAGGTTAAGATGGCCTTCTCTGAGGCCTTGAACAACTTACTAGATCACCAAAGGGCTTGAGGAGAGTTACCCATCCTGGGTGTTTTGCAGAGTCATTCTTTGCTATTGTCTGTTTTTAGCAATTTTAAATGTTTTAATGTTTTTTCTGATTTAATGATTTTTTAATTGCATGTTTATTGTCTGTTTCTATGGGTTGTTGTAAATTTCCCAAAAAGCTTTGGCTGGGAGTGGGGATATAGAAATGAAGTAAATTATATAAATTAATTAATAGATGTTGGCTCCAAGTGTGTCTTCAAGGCCAATTCAAACTCTTGGCTTTGATCCAAAATCCCCAGGCAGTTTTGCTCCCTGATATTTCAGGGACCACCTAATCTTATTTGAAATCTTCCCCCAGTTTCAGATCTGGGCTGAAGGGACCCTCCATAAGTTCTGTCAGGCATCAAAGGAAACAAGGCCCCCTCATGTTCCTTCCATCCTTGCATTCCTTGGGCCTATGAAAACACTTTTGCTTTGATGTGCTTTCAGTTGCTAGCTGGTTTCACCACTTTTGCTTTTTTTGCTGTCCTTGGTTTTATTTAGGTTGTTTTCAGATTTACTGTTATCTTGTATGTTTGATTGTGAATCACCTTGACCTCCTTTTAGGCCTGAGCTTCTTCCAGGTCTCCTCAAACTCCCATCTCTTTCTCAACATACCATTCAGTTCCAGAATCCCAGTCATGCTGACCCTGGGATACTTGCCAAGAGTGGTGATCAGTTCCACTCAGTGCACTCCTGGTACTCCTAGACAGTCCTTTTTATGAGTGTTAGACTCTTATGGATGGAAATACTACCCAAAAAGGCAGGCTGCAGTTTTGAAACTCGGTGGGAAGGAGGAAAGAACAGGGAACAAAGGATGTGGTAAAACAAGCTGCTGTGAGGAGCACGTTGTCTTCTGGGCTCCCTTCTGGAAGTTCATCTGTAATTGTGGTTCAACTGAAATTGTGGGACCTCCCCAAATTTCACATTTTCCATATCTCATTCTGCCTCAAAGGG